CCAAGAAGTAGTTTTTCATAAAGTCTAATATTCAGGTGATACCCAGAAGTCCAATAATAGGTCTCACTTTGGATACCGAAGTGTCCTGGAAGAGATGAAAACTTCAAGGCCACCTGTTTGATAACTGATAGAACCTCTGCCCGTTCAGATAGAGACATAAAGTCCCATTCCTGCAACATCGAGACCAATCAGGGCCATAATCAAACTGTGGAAACAGCTAAGAAAATTAATAATAAGCATCCCAATAAGTAGTCAAATTAACTGTTGCTATACTGCTGCAAACTCACAAGGACACACCTTCGAATTTCTGACCACAGCAAGAGAGCGCTTAATAGCTTGTTGATCAGGTGCTACAAGATTAGCAGAAAAACAGAGAAGCTCTTCTAAGATACTTGCCTACAAAATTAGTACAAAAACATTCTGTTAAGTCAAAGCGTAAGACGATCCTTTCTATATTTAACGAGGTAACAAAGTCCTTTAGTACAACACAAACATGACAAGAACTACGTCGATATCTTGCCAATTATCAAATTCATCAACCTCTCAAATTTACCCTGTATTTTGGATTAAACAATTAACCAGCTGAACAGATTTTGGCAGGACCCGTTACACATTGCCTAGATCCCACAAAAACAACTTCCATTACTGCTAAAGTCACTATGACAATGCCAAATGGTGCCTTATATATCGACCTTTAACATTAGGGCAGCTCTAATATTCTTGACCAACAACCAACCTAAGGCCCAAACAGAGAACAGCCATGGTAAGGCCAGAATGTTTACACTAAGTTTGGCAACTTGTCTACCCTACTATCAGGGCTAATGCTTTGAGTATTAAGATTCATGGAATCACAAGCCCAACCAGTATCACATTCTGCAGAGCCTGGTCGGTAAAAGGTTTACAGCATGTCCTTGAAAGTACATGGAATATATCAGTCTCACTGAGAATGTGTCCTAGTCAATGATTTTGTGCCAAACTACAGCATGTGAAAGGTGTCTGACTAATATGACAGTTTACCAAGTCCAGCTATTTGTTCTAGCCAGTTTTGATATTAAAAGGATTGATTTTTAAAATATTCCAATACCTGTCTATTCTTCCATTGCAAATAAGATTTTTCATTTGGAAAATCAGACTTAAAAGTTCCATTTAAAAGCCCCAACAAAACTTGAGGAACATCGATTTGCACCCGTGTTCTCCCTGACGCTAACAGCATCAACTTTTGCCTAGTGCTCTCATCCATCGCTTCTGAAATCTACAAAAGAAGAAATAATTGCTTCTGAGATGGAATAGTCGAACTACTAAGAAAGAAAGGAAAACTGAGTGAGAAACAGAAATATCCTTCTTGTCTACATTGGTGTTTGTCATCCCTACCAGGGCCATGTCATGGAAAATTATTAACACAAACAGAAATGAAAAAATATTTGCATAAGCTTTTCTTTACCCCTTCTTTCTAGAAACACTTTATTTAAGCGGTAGAATTATGAAAGAATAACTTCGAATCAAACTGGTTTAAGCTAGACTCTTGTATTAATGTATCCATACTCTCTCACATCAAATTATTAGAAAGTACTTTTCGACGTCTATCACCCAACTATTTTAAGAGTAAGACATCCATCATATATCTTTTCTGGTAGATGAAATAAACCAGCCACACTCCTACTGATATCTGACATGTCAAAGTACACTGCTTCAAAGTCAGAGATTAATTGACGACTTCAAGTGAAGCATTTAGTTAAAAGATCATTATGAGTGCACTCAGTTTTCGATGTGATACATATAAACAACTTTCCAGGCATGGATTCTGCGATATATCCACAATATACATCAAATTGGAAAGCTTTCTGCATCTTTCCTTAAAGTCTGACACTATTTACTGAGCACATAAAAGTACAGCTCAGAAGTGAAGAGGAGAAAATAATAGTTACCTGCATTTGCACACGGATGGTGTTGAGGAGCTGTAAATGTCTTTCAAGAGGCTGAGACTGCACATTTGCTGTATCCTTTCTACTCTTCAATCGTGACAGCAATTTGGAACTCCTTTGCTTCTTTCTGTCCTCAATTGAACATATTACAATCCTGTTCCATGAAGACAAAGAGTAAGAGAACAAGAGAGCACTAGAGAGTAAAAGACTGATTCTACATCGAACCAAGATCTCAAAATTCCATAACTGAAAAGTAGTAAATATGTTGAATGAAAGAAACAGGGGTTTCACCACCCTCACACATAGAAAGAGAGAAAAGAGAGAAAAGAGAGATTACCCAGAAGTTGCCATAGATGCAAGTAATATTTCATAGGCCAACTCCCGCAAGTCATCATCCAACAATCCTTCAAAAATTCTGAAGCTACGTTACAGTTTTACTTAAAATGTGAAAGGCCGGAGCTTCAGGATACAAATATATACATCTTTTGCAGAAAAAGAAAAACCATATGATGTTGTGGAACAGAGATAATTTCATCACTAAAAAAGAAGAGTCTGACTACCATTTGAGGACACGCTGATTTCATTACATTCTTTGAGAAATGACCATACCAAATAGCAGGGGCCATTATTTTATAATCAAAGCAACCCATACCTGTGTTCAGATGAGGCAATCCCAATGACATGTTCTTAACATCTTCAACAGGCTTCGGAGGTGCACTCGGCATGGCTCTATCTTTAAAACCATAGTAATCACCAGCCTTTGCAATGTCCTCAACATTCAAAGAATCCATCTGGGTGTATGAACTTGATGCATTCTCAGAGGTTCGGTTCACATTTATGGGCGAAGGCACACGCCGAGGAGGTGATCCAGATGATTCTGGATCAGAAAGTAGAAAAAAGGAATTGCCTAATTGGGAATGAATCTGTCGAAAAGGTAGAGCATTATGAAACGAAAATGAATTCTATGGTTTTTTCAGAAGAAACATAACCTACTTGAGCTAGCAGCAGTAAAGAAAAATAAAAACTTGAGGAGATTCATTTCAAGCTTCTATGAGTTTTGGGTCAGTTTGCTTTACTTCTTATCACACTTTTATGTCAGCCAAACGGCTTCTGAAAATCTTCTGAAGATGTTTAATCTCTCTTAAACATAGCATTTTCAAAACACTCACATTTGGCCCAGTTCTTGAACAAAAGCAGAACCACCACCAAAACCAAAACTTCAAACCATAACAAGAATCAAAATTTCACACCTCTCTGTGCCTATGTACGTATACTCAAGAAATAGCTAAAAGAGCGTCAGAGTGTTCGTGCTCACCATTAGAGGGTAAGAAGATTCATGGAAGTACTTCTTGGTTGCTTCAGATATATCCACAACTCCACCTAAACAAATTCCAGTAACAAAATTATACAAAAATATATTTACTTATATAGCTGAATTTTGTTGGAAAATGAAAAAAAGACTTGCCGGATTTGACGCAGTCGAGGACATAATCGGCACTGAGAGTATCAAAATCGATGTGGGAAAGCGAGGCGGCGGACCCGGTCGGCGTCCGGAGCTCCGTGACGAGACCCGATGACGACAAGAGAAATTCTAAGAGCTTACGACGATCACGGCGATATCGCTGCAACAGAGGTTGGTGCTCCATCGTTAGCAGACACCTCCTCCTACTTACGACAGTGACGACAAACAACGAAACAAACCAACGGAGAAGGAGACAGCTCAGACGACAGACATTAGGAGGAGAAGGAGGAGCGCGAAAAAGAGCACGAAGCCCACCCCACAATGTTGTATTTTCATTTCTTGCTTTCGGCAGATGCTTTTTGTCTGTTTTTTTTTGGGTTTATTATACTTTTTGACTTCGACTTTTGTTAATTTTTATGTTGACCCCTTCTCTTATTAATTTTTTTTTTCTCTAGCTTGCCTAGCATGAAGATATTTTTTTTTAATAGTTGAATAATTATGATATTTGAATTCAAAAATTTCCCTAACATATTAAACGCAACTAGACTAAATGATCATTGAAAATTATGAGAATTTTCCTCACTTCCTCGAACTTTTAGTCACAATCACTTAATATAACTGTATGGATAATGGAATAACTTTTTTTATTTGATAAAGGATCGAGTTGTTAGCTTAGCATAGTTTTTTCTTAAAATTATTTATATCTTTTGCTATTAATCGTTTGAACTACAAACTCCTTGAAGTCTTATAAAAATACTCCTTGCAGTTGTGATTATTTTTGTGGTTACCATTCTTTACTTTCGATTCAATATTGAAGGGAAAAAAGGGATCATGGATGGGAGAGAGAAGAAACAATATATAGAATGATTTATAAGCTAATATTTAAAAAACAATTTTAACCGTATTATAGTTGCACATTATTAGAGTATTCAAAGGTTTTAAATGTCTCCAATCGCAAAGGAAAAATAAATGGAAAGAAAGAAATAGACAATTCTGCTATGCCAGCCACTTTGAGTGTGCCATACACAAGTGGATGATGGGATTTATGCTTTATTAACAACATGAATTATCCAATTGCAAGTGCCAAGGAATAGCTTGTTCAAGTCAACACATCACAAGCTCCTCTCTTTCTACAAATCAGATACAATCAGTGTGACTGTCCACATACATGTTACAACAATCTAACAAGTTTCACGAACAAGAATCTTATTAACTTTTAACACCATTTCTAAGGTATCAAGTCAACATTCTTCAAGTCAACATTCGTCGAGTGCAAATATTGGCAACAAAGAGCCCTTCACATTGAAATGTAACTCAAGACAACTGTCTTTGTGATATAATTACGGCGGAGACACCCTGGCAATACCCATGTACAAAGGCACCTAAAGATGCCAGAGCAACAACAAATACGAAGTGCCACTCTCATCATCACTACGGGAACAAGAAGATCGATGACAATTGCTACACCTACTCTACAACAAGAAACAACATCGACAATGACCATATAGAAAACCTGCAGTGAGTCGAGTGCGAAGCTTGGCGTTGGATTACACTCAAGCAAGAATTGTATGTAAACCCCCAGCATGCACGGGCATAATTGTTCAGTTAGAAGTATTCTACACTTCCACTGGATCATGGCTGGTACTCTTCAATATATTGTACTTGCAGAGAGGACAGGTAGCATTGATATAAAGCCACTTATCAATGCAGGAACAGTGAAAATGATGGCCACAAGGAAGTTGCCTTAGCTCCACTCCATCATCGTAAGAAGAAAGGCAGATGCAACACTCCTATAAATCACAATGATCATCACTTAGATGTGACAAGAATCTTTTGAGCAGTCCAAAAAGATTTTGCTAGTCCACTAATTAACTGGGATTTGTTATATGAACATAAAAGGAAACCAAGTACATAACAGGTCATGTAGACAACATCCTCTTTTGCTAACACAACTCAGAAAGTGAAGAAGATTAGTTATCCAAAAAAAGGGCCCACTCACCGCATCGTCCTGCGAAAGAACATGTTCAATGGGTGAATCTGTTCCACATTCAGTCATTACTCCTCCACCTTGTGTATCACCTGCAACTTTCTCATTGCCAACTTTTCTGAATTTGAATTTTGACAACTGTTCAATGTCTTCCTTGGATGCTCCATCCTGCTTCAATAACAGGTCATAGAAACACAATAGAGAGGACAAGAAAGCCATTAAAATTTAATATAAGATTCTTAACCTACACAACAGTAAATTTACAGATCAGGTAAACTATACTTCCAACAACAAAAAATCATGCACAAACTCTTCAAAGTTTATACAATTAAAACAGAGTCAGCAAACCTGGATCAAACGAAAAGAATTCATAAAACAGAAATAATTCTATTGTCCCCAAGTGCTTCAAGGCCAACTACTATACATCAAGTTTTCTAACTCTTGTACACCAACAGAAGGAGAAAGATATAAAACCATTTGAAAACTATTATTAGCACTCCAAAATAGTCATTGTAATAGTCATTCTACACTCTGTCCTTATTTTTTTCATTAGAGAAGAGTGCATGATGACTATTTTGGAGTGCCAATAACAGCTCTCAATCATAATGGTTGCACAGGTGCTATGTGGAGAGACCGTGAAATGCAACTGTCTAAGATGAGTATCAAAATGTAAGATAAATATACCAGACAAAAGCAGACATTGGTTGAACTCAGTGCACATTATTTTACCACAACAGGAACTTGCTTTTCATTGAAATCATGAAGGCAATCAACTCTATCAACTTTCTTTCATTCAGCCATACAAAACATTTGTGCTGGCCTTTGCACCCCCACCCCAGAGAGAGTTATTTATGCTAAATAGGAACCAATCCCATCATAGTTAAGTTCGATTAAAGAGTCCAAAATCCTCCAACCAAGGATCTTAATATGTTCATGTCTCATTCAAACTAACAAAACCCGATTAATTTTTATAATACTTAATTATTAGGTACATATTGTTTCCTTCCATAGAACAACAGAGAATGATTCAGTTTCTGGTTTCAATTTGTAACCATTTACATCATACAAATATCGTACTTCTCAAACAGTATTGCATTAATTTCACATAACCTAGAGAGTGGTAATGATAGAAGACACTGATAGTTATGAACATGGAACTCAACACACACAGAAAAGAGGTAAGAATACACAAGAACTACCTGGTCTGCCACAGCGTATAAAAGTGCAATAATACATGGAAGACAGCAACAAACAGCGATACCAATGATACATGCCAGTGCAACACAGAAAACGACAAAAAACACGTCAAAACCCAGGAAAATTATACATAGCCTGCAGAAAAGCCACATTGCCATAGTTAAGACTTTGTTAATGTCTTGATTTTCAAATAAATGGATGAGAGAGAGAGAGAGAGAGAGAGAGAGAGAGAGAGAGAGAGAGAGAGCACAAACCAGTAAAGCTGAGGGGAGGCACGCGCTAAAGCTTGACCACCTGCTGATACCCAGTAGAACCCAATGATCCACCAGATGAATGAAAACATTGTATTTGCAGATTCCAAATGCTTTGCAACGCTGCTGAGAGATTAAAGCAAAAACATTGAGCACGTAAACGAAATAGTCCAAAATAAATCATCCAATTTCTCACACAGTACCAGCTGCAAATAAACCAGCATCCTTCCCTTTCCAGTGGAAAACCAGTTCAGTAATCAACAACAGAGTTTAATATGCATACATATAGTCAATATTACACATAACTAGGGATTTTAGAAAGTATTAATCGAAAGAAAACCAAAGTCATCGCTCATCGCTCATCAACAAGCCTTAAAAAGCCAAGAAGAATCATAAAACTAATCCTCTACTCTACTCTGCATGCAATTCATGTTAAACAACATAATGGGTCAACGTACACATAAAATCTTATTCTGCTAAAAGTTTTTTATTTTGCTCCAAATCAAATGCCAGAATTTTAAGCAAACACTCGAGAATTGTCACAAGAAGATCATAAATTGCAGCAACTAACAACAACCCATCAACAAACATCACATAGAGAAGCATGAACATTTCAAATGCATTACATAACAAAAAGTCATTTGTTACCTGGTACCCTCCTCATTCATATGATCAGCCAAAGACACGTACTGCGAAGACGAATCCCCCTCTCTCGACCCAGAACTCAAGTTCCCAACACTCCCTACTCCTTCCTCCGTCATCCCCAAAACCCGGCTTCTCTGTCGGCACTGCCTTCTCCGAAACTCGACACAAACACAAACCATATGAACCGCACACTGCAAAGCGTACCCCATGATCCAGAGCCTCAGGGGCATATTCGGCAATTCGTATCGGCTCAGAACCAGGACCGTTGCCGCGACGACGACGAAAGCGAAGTTCCAGATGATGTCGAGAACCACCACGGGCTTCGAATACGCCCAATCGCTCTGCCTCTCCTCCAACTGCTCCGCCGCCGTCTCGCGAACCAGCATCGACGGCTCACGCATGAGCCGGCGGCTGCTGGCTTGGCGGAGAAACCGCGCGGCGTCGCGCAGGCTCTGGCGGCGCACGATTCGGTGGCGCCCGGAGTTGGACTCGTCGGACGACCCTCCCGAGTTGCTGAGCAACGGCGTCGTATCGACGATGTCGTCCACGGATCGGTTGGGTGAGGTCATTTCGGGAATTTCGTATTGGAATTTTTATTTTTCAGCGAGCTTGTGGAATTGAATGCCCTAACTCGGTGAGCCCATGCAGAGATCTTCAAAACGGTGCGTATTGGCGGAACCTGTGATCAAATGGGCGGAGGTTTTGTGGCGGTGAGAACATGGAAAAGGTTGGATAAGACAAGGCCGACGATGCCGACAATGTCGTTCGAATACAGACACGGCTTTGGAATTGGAATTACCTTTTTTCTTTCTTTTCTCTTCTTTTCTTTTTGTCTTCTTTCTTTTTTTTTAATAAATTTGTTTCCTTTGACCAGGGCTAGGTAAATTGATTTGACCATACCGTACACGGTTCGTTCGGTAATTACAGTTAACTGCGGTAATATTTGTTTGTGGTATGGGATGGGGGTGGAGTCGATTCAGTCGAAGCCAACTTGGCGGTTGAGATTCACCGCTTAAATGCTTCGCTGTACGGTGGATAAATAAGTTCCAATAATTTAATTAACTTTTGAATACAATTTGCCAAAAAAACAAAATTAGCTTCTGAATACAACAGTATGTGATTCGTTGTAAACTTTTTAGTGAATACAACATATAAATAAGTTAACATAGTGATCGCATAAACTTGCTTACAGTGACCATGGATTTGATTCCCCCTTTTTCAATATCTTTTTGTATATGAACCAATTTGCGAAGCGTTCATTTTTTTTCTTTCCTCTTTCCTTTTTGTTGTACATCAGTAAATTTTAACCAATATTTATTAGGAGTTTTACTATATAAGGACAAATAGGAGGGCGCCAAGACAAAATGATCTAACCCCATAAAAATTAGATAAATTGGTTCAGTCACTGTCCGGCAATGGCATAAAGAGTTATTTCATGTCATTGTCAAACATTGACTTGACTGGTTTATCCAATTTTGGAGGAGCTCGACCATTTTAACATTATGTCTTGTGTGAATGACTTTATTTATTTATTTATCATTTTATGTATTTATTATTAAAGGATCTACACCCTAGCTTGCATTTGAGAGAAAATCAAACTATTATAGAAAGTAAAACAAAAATAATTTATATTTATAATAATCAGGCCTAAAAAAGTAAAATCCAATTTTATCATACAAATAAATAGCATTTGTCAATATCATTGGTTAAAAATTCCCCCAAAAATTATATGGGGCTTGTACTATTTTTCTGTAACCTCCATTTCTCCGAATAACGTTTAAAAAAATTCGAAACATTTTTCTAGCACTTCCAATAAATTAAAATAAATCCAAAATAATTTAACTTAATTCCAAAACATTTTTCTAAGATTACAAAATTTTCTCAGGGCTAACGACATGGATGCGTACAACTCTAGATAGATTTACCGATGAGGCCCAAACCTAAAATTTCACTTGTAGGGCTTGAAATCGACGAGAGTTCTGATAACCAAAGCCCGCTCAATCTTTAGTTGCCATTTTCTGGCCCAGAGAAAGGCGCGACCTTTGGTCAGTCAGTTGAAGTTAAATTGGTAGCCGAAGCAGTAGGGTTTTAGACTTTGGACAGGGCTCGGGGATTTTGCAGAGCAGCAGCGGCGCCGGCGGCGACACCAGAGCTTGAAGCTTCGACCACCACATAGCAGAGCAGCCATGGTTCTGAAGACCGAGCTCTGTCGTTTCAGTGGCGCCAAGATTTACCCCGGAAAGGGAATCAGATTCATCCGCTCTGATTCTCAGGTCTTCCTCTTCGCCAACTCCAAATGCAAGAGGTACTTCCACAACCGCCTCAAGCCCTCCAAGCTCACATGGACCGCCATGTACCGTAAGCAACACAAGAAGGTACCTACACAAAACACACATTCACGAAACGATGCGTTTCGTTTCGAATCGATTGAATATTCTAAGCTCTTGTGTGTTGTGATTTCAGGACATTGCTGCTGAGGCTGTGAAGAAGAAGCGACGCTCAAACAAAAAGCCTTATTCGAGGTCCATTGTTGGTGCCACATTGGAAGTTATTCAGAAGCGAAGGACAGAGAAGCCCGAGGTCCGTGACGCCGCCCGTGAGGCCGCTCTCCGGTAATGCTCTGCTGCTTATTTGATCAACAGTGATAGAATCTATATTGAGTTATTTGATCAACAATGATAAAATGTAGATTGGGTCATTTGATCAACTTGATAACATCAAATTTGGGGTATTTGATCAACTTGATAAAATCAATTTTGGGTCATTTGATCAGCTTGATAAAATCAAATTCGGTTTTGTATTTTATAAAATCAATGATGGATGTGTGTTTATGCGTATTTGTCAGTGAAATCAAGGAGAGGATTAAGAAGACTAAGGATGAGAAGAAGGCAAAGAAGGCTGAATTGGTGTCCAAGTCAAAGGGTCAGTCCAAGGGCAATGTGCCCAAGGCTGCTGCTCCCAAAGCCCCTAAGCTTGGAGGTGGTGGTGGAAAGCGATAAGTTTTCTTCTTCCCCCCCATCCTGAATATTTATTCTCCTTACCATTTTGCCTAGACGATCGACATATTTTTTGTTTCGATTTTATGTATGGATTAATTGGCATTGTTGGCCACTCCAATTTTGGATATTGTTGCATTAGTGAAAGTTTATCATTTATATTTTAATGCCCTTGAGTTCAGAAAAAATATATCTTTTATTCACAGCTGATAAACTTGTTTTGTCAACCTGGAAAAGTTGAGTCGTTTTAGACATTCGTTTTGGTAATTTGTATCTGAGTATGACTTGATAATGAACTTGTCTGGTGGGTTTGGATTATATGGTGGGATGTTTGGTAGTCTAAAAACATGGATTAGACCCAAGGTTGGGATTAAGTTGGATTGGACACCCAGCATGACCAATAGGTGAAATGAGTTATGTTTCTCTCGAAATTTGGGCAATACAAATCCAAGGTTTTTTACAGAGAGCTGGTATTTTTCACCGGATTATTTTGCAAAATATTGTTTATTTCGCATGAGATGGAAGCAAATCAGTTTAAGGTCCCGTATTTTTAATTGAAATCAAGTGCGCTTTCAAGACTTTGAAGCACTTATTCTAAGATTTTCTGAACTTTTTAAAGTGTTTTTGGTTGTCATAAAGTCGCTTTTAGTCTTTTGACAAGCAGTCTCAAATAAGTTTCCATCCAGATTGTATGCATAAACTTATGCTTGTAACTTCTGATGTCACTATCGACTTCTAGTTTAAAGTTCATAGATCGGAGAAGACCGATGATCTTATGATCTTATGTATTTATCTGTCACATTACTAAAGAGATACAAAGTTTCCTGCAATAAAGAGGTGTGTGTCTTACGTGTGTTTGAGTAATTGATGTAGTCCTGTATACTAGATGAGAAAAAATGTATGCTAGATTTAGTGACTTATCCAATCTCGTCTTAAGAACCAAACGAGGCTTAATGTTATACAAAGCGGTTTCTTTAACTGACCCATATCTCTGTGTCACATGAACAAGGATCTTGTTGCTTAATGACACTCAAATCTTGTTACTCATGTGAGCAAGTTTCAGAAAATGTTAAATTATTACTTAGCATGAACAAATTAAAATATGCCCCCCAAAACTGTAGAGAAATAGGTAAACACTTGTCATTCTGGACTTGTACCAGTAGAGAGGAGAGAATATGTGAGAGAAAACATCAAGGGAAATTTTAGAGTATTTAGAGAGCCCTCAAATGAGCTGTTTGTTTTTATTTTATTTTATTGCGCAAGCTGTAAATACTTGGTGGGAGGGCAAATAGTATTTGATTATTTGATATCAGCAAGCAACGGCTATGTCTTGCAGTATCAGCAAAAAGGGGCAAAACACAAATACAATAAAGGTCAACCTTTTAGCAGAAAAGTACTAATAGTGGTTTGGTTTGCTTAATTGCACACAGAAAGTTAAAAACCTTTTTCCGTTTGAAGTTATTGTGAAAACCAAGTTTGCTAAACATACTCGTCCTCGTTCGTGAGTGATTCTCAGCTCTTTCTTCTAGTTGTTTACGCGTGTATAGAGGATTGTCGAAAGTGAGTGATTCTTAGCTCTTTCTTCTAGTTGTTTACGCGTGTATGGAGGATTGTCAATGTGACGAAAGTCATTCTGTTGGTTAAAAAGAGCCAACAACCTTAGCTTAGGCGAAAAGCAAATTTAAGGTTTAAATTTCCATGGAAGCAAAAGGCTAGCAGCTTGAAATAGGCCAATAGGGTCATCTCATCTTCAAAAATCTCATGTTTGGCTCATGAAAGAACCATTCTTATTCGGTAAAATACTAATTAAATCAATTAAGCACGCAGTCTTTTGATACTCCTCCTCCATTAAATACTTTAAATTATTTAATTAAATACATCATTATAATAACTTGCCAAGCTGAACAAACACACAAGAATGGCATGCACAGATGGCAAAATAATTATATAAAAAAAACAGGGACCAAAAAGGAGAGCATGTAGCTTCTAAGCAACTGTCTCTACCTTCAACTCTTTGAAGCCCAACAACCAGAATGTCACACCATGCTGTGTGTTGCCAGCTTTTGTCTTGTTTGTGTCAAAACGGATCATACATACGCGTAAGCTTTGCTCATGCATTGTCCACCACCTCAACCTAAACTTTGTGCCTACTTCTCACCAAATTACCCAAATAGTTAAAACCGTGTAGTTTTAGACGTAAGCACAAAATCGACGTTAAAAAACTTAGTAGAGAATACAAGTCTAAATAAATTAGGATTGTTTTGTTTGAGATTTTTCGGTTTTTATTTTTATGTTTTATTTATATAACTCGGCACCGAATAAAATGGAAAACTCAATTTTTGTTACTTGGCTTGGGTCTATTGATTAAAGATGTGAATCCATTTGTTGAAGTTATGCTCAGCGCTGGCTTATTTTGATTTTATAATCGCATTTTGTGGGGCAGGTAGGTTGGTTGTTCTTGCTTCACTTTGATGGTATGTTGTTGTCATGTTGACTAAGTTCTCCAAACAAAGAAAGAAAGAGGAAGCAAACGTTTATGCATGGAGTGTCATTTGGCCTTGACATTGTGAACCTTTCATTTTAATATATATCAGAATGAGTCTTTGTTCAATATTTTTTCATAACACGTAATGTATGAAGTAAAAGACAACCGAACAATTGTACTTCGTATAGTTGACTTTTATTATGGTATAAATACAACACAATGCTCAAGCCGACGTGGATTAAGGCAGTTATTTAAGACACTATATTCGTCTATTTTGTATTCGAGTTTGATTTCTTTCTCTGTAAATTAGAGTAATTTTAAATAATTTGAATTATATACCGTACATATGAAATTTGAGAATATAATCTCTGGGATTACAAAGATTTCCTTGACACAAGCAATTAGAAGCATGCGTTTTCACTTTTTAGCCACTTTGTCTGCATTCGAGCAGTTTTTTTAGAAGTGAAAACCTGAAAAAAAAACAAAAAGCTTTGGAATTTGCAAAAGTGTTGGAACCAAAGAATATATTATCAGTTTCCAACTTGAGGAAGGATTCTAGTGTACCCAAAGCTAAGTTCTGGTTTAGGGTTCTACAATAATATAAGTGGGGATTAATTTATGGTGGGTCTTGTCTTGGAATATATGTTATTCGTGGCACAGCAAATCAGACGTATGTGGAAAATTCTTAGGTATGATGCGATTGCGTGACTAGATCACTCGTATATTTAAGTCTAATTTGGCTTTATGGGTCATATCATTTTGAATGTGTTGTTATATATGACAGATGGATGCAAGAATTTCTTGGTTGTTAACTTAGGTTTTCTCTACTTTTAGAAGCAAATTTTGTTAAATCATGCTTAGAAAGTCCCTCCGATTTGTGGGCTTTATAGGGAATCATGAAGAAGCTTATGCTGTATTACCTTTTAAGAAAGATTAGTCAAATCTTCATCACGAGCTATAATATAGTAAAAGGTTAATTAAAAAAGAAGGTCATCATCCCAATTGTATATGAATTTTTCCTTTTAAATCGTTTTGTCTGATGTAATACATCAATTAAATTCAATGAAGTGAATTTTAATTAAAAAAATATTTTTTTAATAATTTTTTTAAAATATTAATCTTTATATATAAAGTAAAAAGTAGAGAATAATGAAACATTTAAAATACTAAAAAATATATTTGTAAATCATAAAAATAAAAAAAATATTAAATAATTTTAATTGATGTAGTTGTCTACCTCATTTGTCACATCAGTTTATATAAGAGTAGCATTATTTTATTTATTTTGGAGAAGTGCTGAGTCATTATCGTGTCCTCCCAAACCATTGTGCGATCTTGATGTGCTGCGTTTCTACTATTTGAAGCCACGTGGAGGCATGATCCTTTCACTCGCGTTTTTGGGACTTAGTATTTGATGGTGGCATGACAATGAGAAATCTATTTTTTTTTAAATATTAAAATGGCAAATTTGTTATACTCTTTGACTGCTGCCTTTTTTGCCCTTCACAAGTTTGGAATTGAAAAATTAATCTGAATTTGATTATTCTAAAAAATGGCTCGATTTCGCAATGGAAAAGGAAGTTAAAGCGTTGAATTAATTTATCTTATTAGGAAGTTAAATAAAATTAGTTTTTCTTCTCTGATTATTCCACGAAACGAATCCAAAAAAAAAACTCAACAACATTACATAAAGCGAACCACATTATTTTATCATGTTTTGCTTAACAAATTAATATTCTTGAGACACACCAAGCATTGAATTGGAACAAATTTGATCAATCACGTGTTATATATATATATATATATATATATATATACACCCTACCAATGATACTAAACATTTCCAATTGGCAAGCACAAGAAATTACAAACATAAATGTCTAATAAAATAAATAAAAAATAGTAGCAAATAACTTCCACATACAGGAACGGATTTACAGAGGAGCAAGGGTGGTCAAGTGACCCCTACAACCTCTGAAATCTGCCATTAAATGGGAGAAAATTGACCCCTGTAAAGTGTTTGATAAAAGTCCCCAAAGAGGCTAGACTTGGTTGCTCCAACGCTGCTCGCGCGCTTCTCTTATTTTTTTTCTCCCATCGACGTCAAAACGACGTCGTTCTACTAATGAGTTTTCTTTATTTAAATTTTTATAAACTTGACCAAAATGATGTCGTTTTGGCTCAAGTTTTTTTTATTTTTTAAAAAGGGCAGACTCTGTTTAATAGAGAGCCCGATACTCCCCTCTCCCAAATCAGTTTCAGTTCATTTTTTCAATTGCCAAACCCCAAATCATATTGAACCAACCTTCAACTTCAACCAATCCAATCCAACCACCCCATCCGGCACCGGCCGGCACCGGCGACATCCTCATAGTGGTGGCAACAACAAAGCAAAAAAATCAGCCACAAATTCAATTTAATTTCAAAGGTGGATTTTTCATAATGGGACATTTTCAGAATATAAAAACTCGTCGTGGACAATTGTAATGTGGTTTTTTTCTATTAATTATAAATTATAAATTATTGTTTCATTTTTATGGGTTTATTTTTGTATAGAAAGCTTTTACCCTTTTAGACGTTGACCCCTGCAAGGAAAATTCTTGAATCCATCCCTGTCCACATAGAAGTATAGAACGGGTCCATATGCCCTAACTTTATTTTTCATTTTTCTGTTGAAAAATGCTCTCTATTTTTTTTTAAGATAAGGATTTAAGCAGGGATAACGATGTAATTTCACAAAAATAAATGTGATTATTAATTAAGGAATATTGACAGCACCGCGTAATATAAATATATAATCTGTCTCCTACATACAAGAAATACAGAGAGAGAGAGAGAGAAATACAAAGCACTCTCTCCTCCTAAACATTATTCACATTACTTGTTCGACTGTTAAATCTACAACCTTCTTTGCCCACCCAACTCTTCTGCTTCCAAATCTCTCATCTTTTCTTTTGCTTCATCCAAAAACACGTCTTCTACTCGCTTCCAAGTCACTACTCAATCTCTGTTCCCATTTTTTTTTCTTCCACAATATAAACACCAACACAAAAAACATTGGCCTTTCTCATTGCACAGAGAAAAAGCTTGAGACTTCAGAGACAAACAGAGAGAGAAAGAAAATCAAATCATGGCTGATCTAGAACGAGCAGGAACAGAAAAACCCAGAGCCAACAACAGTTACAACCCAAACCAGTACTATGCGGGGACTCAAGAGCATCAATGGACATCCTGGTTGATTCCTATGTTTGTGGTGGCCAATATTATTGTCTTCATTGTGGCTATGTTTATCAACAACTGTCCAAGGAACAATACTGGTATTGATGGCAAGTGTGTAGCCAAGTTTCTTGGTCGGCTTTCATTTCAGCCTCTCCAGGAGAACCCTCTATTTGGCCCATCTTCTTCCACGTGAGTTCTCTGACTTACCCATCTCTCAATTTAGTGATTTTTCTCGGTTTTTGGATTTGGGTTTGAGAAATATGATTGCTTTGTAATTGTAAAGTTTATGATTTTGGGGCAAATACGGTTTGCTTATTTGGTTGTGTGCAAGTTGAGAATTTACTGTTTTTCCAATGTTATATGATGTCCAGTATGTTACTAAGCAGCAGTTTATACTTCAATTTCTCGTTTTGATATGTTTTTTCCTTTTCAGTTTTTGATTGGGCATGCTCCCTTGAGTTTAGGATGATAGAATTGTTTGAAGTGCATGATTTTCTTCTGATTCTTCCTGTATTGTTTATTCTTTTTTGGTTTTTAAACTTCCAATCCTAATTCATAATGCTAGATTGGTCTGAGATTCTAACTCATTGACACGTTTTTTTTCTAATTGCATTTGTGGGACTAGTTTTTTTTCCCCCTTTTCAATTTGTGTTATTCTGCTTGGAATTTTTGTTATTCTAACTCATTGATATCCTAATTCATAATCCAGTAGCGTATGCCAGGACAAATTTACCTCCAAGACTCTGAATGACCCTTTTTCTGACCACAAAGTGATGAACTTTTGTGTGATTTGAACAAAGGATATCGAATCCTGGAAATTAAAAAGCCATAGTTCAAAGACTGGATTGTTTTTTCGCTTCTTTATTTTTTAAGTTACATTTATTTTTGCTTATTATACTTGGATGAAAGTGGTTTCCAGGTGTGTCTGGATGGGAAAATAATTTCTCTTTCCTTTTCGCTTTTTGGTTTTTATTATCTGAGAAATATTTCCTGCTTTTGCAGATTGGAAAAATTGGGAGCTCTGGAGTGGTTCAAGGTTGTACATGGGCATCAAGGATGGAGACTTGTCACTTGTATTTGGTTGCACGCCGGTGTCATTCATTTGCTTGCAAACATGCTGAGCTTGATCTTTATCGGCATCCGCCTTGAACAGCAATTTGGGTTTGGTATGCCATTTTTCTTACCATGCCTTGAATTAAGGTTTTAAGTAAAATGAGGTTAATTTTAGGACTTCATGATTATGCATATTAAAAGGGGAGCCTTTTGTTCTTTACATTTAGAAGAGTGCGGATATGGGAACATTCTTATTTTTCTATATTCAACTCTTTTGAATTTATTCTAAATTATGTATGAGGCCTTTTTTATTTATAGTCTCCAGCATCACTTTACTGTGCTGGATGCATTTGTGCATTCAAATTGAATTAAAGGCAATTCAAATAATTGTTTTGTTCCCTGATGATAACCGTGTAGATATTTTAAGCCTTGTTCAATTTCATTATTAGTGTATTTTCCTTTGACATATTTTTATGATGGTTTTGTTGCATTCTAACATCAGTTCTGGATTGAATTATTTGGCAGTGCGCGTGGGGATAATCTACCTGTTGTCAGGACTTGGTGGGAGCATATTATCAGCCCTTTTTATTCAGCGCAATATTTCTGTTGGTGCTTCTGGCGCTCTGTTTGGACTTCTGGGAGCTATGTTATCGGAGCTTCTCACTAACTGGAGTATATACACCAACAAGGTTTGCTACCGATTTTCCAATTTTATAAAGTGAAGTTGATATTCTTTAAATGGATTTGATGTTTGCATTGTGTCATGATTACGTGTTAAGATCGGACTGTTTTACAGTCTAATCTTGCTGTTCTCTTGCCCTTCCAGGCTGCAGCTCTATTGACGCTTATAGTCATTATCGCCATTAACTTAGCAGTTGGAATTCTTCCTCATGTTGACAACTTCGCCCACATCGGAGGATTCTTGGCTGGGTTTCTCCTTGGTTTTATTTTGCTCCTTCGTCCTCAGTTTGGATGGATGGAGAGTCGGAATCTTCCAGCTGACACTCATGTCAAATCTAAGCACAAGCCTTATCAATATATTCTTTTGTTGCTTGCCTCTGCCTTACTGATTGCTGGGTAAGCTTGTTGCCGGAATTCTAATTTATTATTTGAATTTTGCATGGTTTAGTCTCCATTGCATTTTAATCTGGTTCAAATCGGAGACCATCCCCATAGTGTCGGTCTTTTTTTCGTACTTTTTTTGTTTCTACTGTCATGGATGAGTTTAAGTATACACATTAGCACATATGAAACTGTTTCAAGATGAGTAATTTTCAATTTTCTTTGTTAAATGCAGATTAACTACGGGATTGGTGTTGCTGTTCAAAGGAGAGAACTTAAACAAGCACTGCAGCTGGTGCCATTACCTAAGCTGTGTGCCAACCTCAAGATGGAAATGTGGGAACTGAGAGATGGCCCTCCTCTTCTTTTGTCAACTTCCGTACCTTGACTTGTTCATCTTGTCTCTGATTCTTTTCTTCTTTTATATAATATGTTTCTTTCGTTGGGAACCCTCGCTGATGTACATGCATAGAACACATGATATATTCTAGTTTGCTTGGTACATGGAGATATGTAGTAATATGTATATTTGATACAGAGGATGTCTTTCCGTTATATATATGAGATATTATTTTTTTCCTTCAAAATGGATATTTTCCTCCTTGTTCTGTTGGACTTGTGTTGCCCAAGTTCTGAGCAGCTTTTGGCCAAACTTTTATCACCTTAAGTTAAGGCTGCTGCCCATTCAGTATGGGGAAGACTTGCAAGAACCAACTATATTTACCGAATAGGAGACTTTCCGTTTGACATTCTATTATGTGGGTGCTATGCTATGCCAAAGTCGAGCTACTTATAATTGTTATTTGATAAGATTTACAAAGTCAAGCTACTTATGATTGTTACTTGATAAGGTTTACCGACAAGGTTTACAACAGTATTATTATGCGTAATGCTATCACAAGCGCTGATCAATGTCTCTGATAGGTGATATTTTAAACTACTCTAATCTATGTGAAGTTGAACTCAGTGTAAAGGGACAGACTCCGATTTCGTCAACTGGTCTAAATCACTTGTATTACTCTTATTATGTTTGTTTCCAGTTTAACTGTAACTTAAATCATACCCACATGTACCCTACACTTGAGGTCTTAGGTTCGATTCACCCATCTTCCAATATCGCTTGTATAAGTAAAAAATAATAATCATACCCACGTGTGAAGAAACTTTGAAAAGTGGCCCAATTGGCATATGACCTAATGACCCATCTGCAGACCTAAAATCATTTGGTCCTAGTGCAATGCAAGGTTGATTCAATTCAACCCATTTTCCAGTCTAAAGTTGACAGCCAGGCAGTACAGCTGGCTGGATTTTTGCACATTGAAGTTTTCTTCCTTGGAGATGAAAGACTTTGCATTTGTATATAGAAAAAAGAACAGTAATCCATTGAACACAGACAAGTGCCTTGTTTTTAGATACACATTTGCACGTGTACGCGTTCGTTCAGACATACTTGTAAATGACGTTACATGTTTTGTTAATTCTATAGGTGATGCTTGTAGGTGAAGTTCTTTAGTCAATTTCTCTTTCCTCTACTTTTCTTTTTCCTCTCTCACTCTTGTATGGCCAGATTTCTTTACCTATGTGATATTCCGAAGGGGGAAAAATGATTGAAAAGTCAACAGATTCATTGACTTTAACAATAACCAGAGTTTTTCTTCAATGAGAGCACAAAGGTCCAATGGCATACCACTTAATATTTCTATATATTTTTCATTCTTAAAAGTTTCATGCAATACACTTACTTCACCTTCTGCCAACTTAATTTTACAACTGAAACAGCAAGTAACGGCATTTTCCGGAAGCAGCCTTTGATTCAGACCCACAAATATATGCCCCTACGCTAATAGAATTCTTAACATTACAAGTACAATGAAGCAGTTTAGTACATCAGTTAGCCAGATTAGATTCAAAATTACAGTGGAGGGGTTGAAACCCCTAAAGGGCACCCCATTAGTATCTGTAACCCACAGGCATCCCAAGCTTGTCCAACCGACCAGATCCCGGGTAGGCTTTGCTTGCAAAGTTTGCATGCAAGGCAGACGCCCTTTGAGCACTTGACTTCAATTCGCCAGAGCCATGAATGGAGTACCTCTTTGCAGAGCCAGACCTTTCATACTGAGGCCTCTGCTTTGGAGCACTAAGAGACCTTAACTTCGCCTTTGAAGATTCCGTGCATGCCATGTAGCTCGGGTAATCTGAGTAGCCACTTAGGTAACTTTTCGAGCCATCGCTCCTTGTGGGAGTGAAGGGACTTCTCTTTGAATTACCGCCCCTTGATGAAGCCGAATGAAACTGAGGACTACTGTTGGCAGTGCAGAAAGAGTCTTCCTCAACCTCTCGAGAGAATTTCAATGGAGTTAAAGATTGGACCTCGCAAGAAGATGGACTTGGAAGTGTTTGATGGCTTGTAGAATCTTTTGAAGTGGTAAAGCTATGGCTGTATTGGTCTGAAGCCAGAGCAAGATGAGTAGAGTGGAAAAGGTTTCTCCGTTTAGTTGCGATGTATGGTTTCCCAGTATCGATTTCAAGGACCCTGTCATTCTTTTCATCATCTGTAGTGCCATATGATCTGGAGCTATTCCGCTGCAGGATGTAGTAGGCATGAGGATTGCATGTAAGTAGAAAGCATGACAATGCAGATAAAATACAAGATCTGAGCATTACCCTGAGTGTTGAAAATTGCTCGAGTTTTGTACTCCTGGATCGGATGGGATGTTCAAATTTTTCTGGGGTTGCTGGACCCTGCATGTAGAAGAGATTTTTCTTGTTTAAAGAGCAAACAAACATTTGGTGAATGCAGATGATATATTTAGGTCATCACTGATTCGTAAAACACATAAATCAATTACAGATGGTCAATTAGAACTCAGATGATAATGGCTAATTAGCAGATAGTCAATCACAACTCAGTTGATAATATCAATAACTAACTAGTCTTTTATTTTTCTGATGAGGTAAAACTAGTGATTGAGAAAAGGCTCAACATCTGTGTAGTAGTAAGCTTTTTAACCATCAACGTGTCCCCTCTAACATGTTATCTGTCTACAAGTTTGACATGGACATTAACTGTTATATCTACTATGCTAGTTGTCAACCTGCCACTCTCATTTATTTGACAGCAAAAGTAGCGTCCACTGTCCATATGAACCTAAAAAAGTTTGGAAGTTTCTTATAACATATAATTACACATCAATGCATCATGGAGCTTTTAAAATTTCTACCAAACCCCCTTCCTTCACAACATTATATGTGTCTTTACTGAAAAGTACATGCATGAATAGAAAAGCCTTCTAAGTTGTTCTGGAAAAAGATGGTCCCCCCACTCGAAGTTCAAATCTATTTGAAAAAAACTCATATTGGAGGGAAAGGAAAATTTTCCTTACAGGTTGGTGAAATTGAGAAGACTTGGTCCTTGAATGTGAGAGCTCAGAAATTTGGGACCGCCCTGTTCGAGCTCTCGCCTGAGCACGCAAGATTGCTTGCAGCCGCTGCAACCGCGCAGCATTGTTCTTCCTCACAATATGACCTCTTACCAGTGCCTGAAGTCTCACCAATCCCTTTAATGCTCGCAATGCTCTCCTTGCCTTCAAAATATCCATTTGACAAAGCAACTTAACTTATGAAAAACCAATTAAAACGCATTCGAGATAATACTAAAAGTCCAACCAAGTAATAACACAAAATGTCAACTACAACAAAACCAGGATATCAGTACCAACCAAATGATTGAATAGCCTAAACTTAAATGACATTTTAAATTATGGTGCTGAGAAGCAGGTGCGCGGACCTACACAGAAATTCGAATGGACCAAGCGCGTAAATGAAATTATTTTTTGGCCAAGTACCAAATGAATCTATATCTCTGACATGAAAAATAAGAAAACAGGGACGTTTCACTACCAGCCCCTGCAAAAAGGCATCCCGTTGTTTGAGTGTACTGTGCTGTCTACATTTTAATTCAGCATTAAAGCACCCAACCTACACACCCCATCCTCTCTTCCTAAGAAAGTCAATTAGAAAATTCTTTTTAAGGAACCCACCAAAACTTTAAGTGTGCAGGACCCAACAGTCAGAAACGTCAACACGCATGGAGTTGAAAACTTTTGGCCATCCACATCCACTCCTTTAAAATGCATCAATTACAAAGGGACTGTTAATTAAACAACTTGGTTTTTTTTAGAAAGTCCCATCCCATTCTACTGTAAAACCCCACATGACTCGATCGTATCCTTTTGGTTTCTACTATGAGGAAACATCAAACGCTGTTGGAATTAAAGAACCCTAACAGAAACGGCAAAAGAACTAAGACACCCAATTAAAATTAAGTCTCTTCCCTTCCAATTAAACTAAGTGTTAGGTGAGAGGTAAGGTGAGGAAATTAAAGAAGGGCAAAACCACAGTAAGAATACCAAGACATTGACAATTTGACATTAAAAAAATTGTCATTGGGGCAAACCAAACCAACTTACTCCAGAAAAGCAAAGAGAAAAGTTTCTGCCCCACCCATTCTGTGAAAACCACAACACAACCAAAATGGAAGGCCTCTGAAAACTAAATGGCCATGTGCTGTAAGAAAAACCCTTGAGAGGTCCAGTGGTCCACACGGGTTTTTCTTGGAAGAAGGTGGTATAGTACGCACCCCGGTGCATTTTAGCGGGTTTACCTATTTCACAACCTAGAAAAATGTTGAAGGGTCTCTTTCAGTGTTTGACAGAGAGATGACCCAGAAACGGCAGTGCAAAAGAAGCTGCACGTATTGCCGTTTTGAGGAAAACGACATGGAATGTACAGCTCAAAGTAGCCCAACTGGGTATGAGATGAATTCTACAAGGACTAAAACGACGCCGTATGGGACCTTCGGTTACAGAACCAACGTGCAGCAGTTTTCACTGTGTAGTGGTAGAATAGAAGAAGGAACACTAGTTTTTAAGCACGAAGCCTAACGGGAAAGAAGGGACACGTGTCAGCTTCCCGACCCAATGCTAATCCAGTAACTTAATCAGAAATTAACGGTCAATTAAGAAAACTTGTACCAAAAAAAATTAAAAAATAATAATAATTCGGCGGTGATACGAACCAAACAGCCTCGGAAAGCAGCTTGAATCTTCAGCGCGGCCCATTCTTCTTCGCGGACCGCAATTCGGGCCGCGCTAACGTGCGCCGCGGGGTTGCTGGGGCACCGTCCGCTGCTCGTCAGGCGGACCACGGCGGCGGCGGCTTGCGCGGCGGCGACTGCGGCTTCTGCCACGGCGGCGGTCGCGGCTGCGACGGCGATGGCGTGTTTGTTGGGGTCGACGACGGCGTCATTTGCAGAGTCGGAAGGAAGCGGTGGGGTGTCGTTTTGATGGCGGTGGTGGTTTTTTTCTCTGTAGGACTTGACGAAGCTCCAGCGGCGTCTGTCTTTGGTGGGAGGTTTTGGGGAGGAGGTGGAGGTTTGGTGGGTCGGGTCGGGCTTTTTGAGGCCCAGGATGGAGCGGAACCATTTGGAGGCTTTGCCCATTTTTTTGGGTTGTTCGGAGAAGTGTCTCAGAGGCTAAGGGTGATGTGATGGGAGTGGTTTGAGGAAGTGGGTTTGGTTATGGAGTTGCATTTGCAGTTGCAGAAGAGAGAGAGAGAGAGAGAGAGAGAGAGAGAGAGAGAGGGAGAGAGGGAGAGAGTGAGAGATGAAATGTTGGGACTTGGGAGCAAAGAAAGAAAGAAGAAGAGGGAATTTATTTATATGGTGGAGATTGTCAAAGGAGGGGACATTGATGGGGAGTTGATTAAAACACATGCTGGTAGGGAAGTGAAACTCCATACCCTGCATGGCGCGTTTGGTTCATTACATTGGTCGTCGTTCGCTCTCTTTTTTTAGTTGGATTTTTCTAGTTTTTTGGAAATTACAAATTGGAATAAGAACAAGAAGATTGGAATAAATTGGGATCACTGATAACGTTTTGGTTTTTAGTGTTTATTTTAAAAAGAACAAGACAAATAAAAGATATAAAAAGACTAATCATCTAGCATTGTGCTTTCTCTTGTTCATAACTTTTGTCACATGCACATGCAGACGCGTGATGAACATCCTATTTTTAGTTGCGATGTATTGAATTGTTCTTGCAAACTAGAACCTATACATATGCATAAAACTATGGATTGCCAAGACAAAGAAATGATCTAGATTTGTCTAATTAGGTGTTTAAAATAGTAAAGAAAATTCTAGGGAAGAAAAAATAAAGAAGAGGATCTTGCTTCGCAAGGACAAGAGTGAGAAAATATGAGAAGCTCTTGACAACTTCTTGTCACAAGTTAGTGTTAACGCTAATTCTTTTCTTCTTCTTCGTATCACTATGGTAATTGTGCACATTTTATCCTCATTTTCAGTTGATTTTCTAATTTATCTTTGTTTTTTTTTACAAAAGAAAAAAAGAAAAAAAATGTTTCCAAAGTGTGTAATAATAAATTAATCGGCATTAGATTCCTATCTACATAAGTCAAATTTGAGACTTACTTCAACTTAGTGGTAACTACTACCAACTACCACTAGATAAAAATTAATTTGTTCTACATTTATCTTCCTTGTTCTAACTAACTCATGATTCTTTTGGATCCACAATTATATTTTTTTTAATTATTATTCTGAGTTTGCAATTTTAGTTGGAATGTCTATGTTATAGTTTCTTCAATTTTGCATGATCGTTAGTAGATGTGTACAAAATTGTCTTAATTTTGATGTTAGACCGATCCATTATTTATTTATTTTTGTTATTGTAATGACCCTTTGTGATTATTATTATTTATTTATTTTTTTGCTCAATTATGAATGAAATTCTAGAATTTCTCAACAACAAAAAAAGTACATGACATCTCAACTATATAACTTACTAATAATATTATAATACGTTGATTGATAACATCACATAACGATATGTTGGTCACACTCAATAATTTCTCTAAATGACATACATCATCATTAAGCACATTACCTCAATTTTCATTAAGCATTAAACACATTTAGAGGTGGGTAACAAACGGCATGAGTTTAGAATATAAGAAGGACTTAAGCAAATGAGAGTATTTGGATGACACAAGATTTTGGTGTTTTGGTGTAGCACATTTAACTTATTGTGTGTTTACTAATTAAGAATTGGAATTTGAAGCAGGAATTGAATTCCAACTATGGAGGATTTCTGTGTTTACTTCACATCAATAAATTAAAAAGTAAGTGGGGCTCACACAAAATTAGGAGTTGGATTCTTGATTTTGGAGGAATTCAATTCTTGGGTGTGATGTAGTATTCTAATTCATAGAGATATAACCTATTAGGAATTCATTTTGTTTACCCATTATATCCACACACAATTTTAAAAATTCAAAATGTGTCATATACTTTATCCCAACAATGAGAATATTTTAGTAATTAGCATCACTCAAACCCCAATTAGTAAACAACTTGAATAGGAATCTGAAATCTAACTTTCTTCAATTCATATGGTTTAGTAAACAACTTCAATAGGAATCCGGAATCTAACTTTCTTTAATCTATATAGTTTAGTAAACAACTTCAATAAGAATCCGGAATCTAATTTTCTTTAATTCAACTCCTCTTCAATCTAATTCATTCCCAATTCAATTATTCATAATCCATAATCAGATTAGTAAACTTACCATCAATTCATATATTAGTTTTGGATTGAAAATCTACCTCGAAATCCAGTACGTTTTCTTTCTCTCCCACATCATCTCAACTAAAGTCATTTTAAAAAAAAATCGTAAATCCCAAATATCATGAGTGATAAAAGATAGATTCTAAAGAGTAATTGATTGATAGAGAGACGCGGCCCAAACGTCCGTGACAAGTTTATGACTAAAGCATGGGAGGCCATGGCTTTTTGGCATGTATTAGTTGTACGTCGAATCAAAGTCAAGTGAGATTAGATAGATAATTGATTAGATACCGTATTATATGAACAACAACTACAAAATAACACAGAAAAATAGAAAACAAAACAAAACACAAAAAGACTAAAAGTGGAATTGTTTGTCTCTATATGTGTCTGCAAGAGAAACCAGCGGATCAACAACATGTACTGCAATATACACACAGATTGCCCTACAACTATAGGACACTGCTCTATTAACCCACACCAACTTAGGTAAATAATCTTTGTGCCTTTCCAATGGCTTAGATGCCATTGGACCCACCTTTTATAAGACAATAACATGTGGACCACCACATTGATTGATCAGATCAGAGGGAGGGCAAAATCTTGGTGATAATGATACCTCCCCATTGGACCAATGGCTTTACCTGGGGACCCAGTGAATTTTAATCAGATGGGCATGGGCATCACTGGAAAAGTTGTGGAAAAATGACTGCATGATCAGATCATATCTAAGAACCAGAAAAATCAGAAATCAGAGATCTTCTATGAGCACACAGAGACAGAAAAGAGACAGAAATAGATTATAGAGATAGAGGCAAAGGAAAATGATGAAGAATGGGGGGAGGATCACATGTATGTACGTTGTATGTACCCTAGATTTATAAGGCACCCTAGAATTATATGACGTCCAATCATATCCCTAATGCATTGTCATTTCATAAATTCACTAGCAAACTAGGTCTAGCTTACCCTAAACCCTAAGGCAATGATTAAATATGGAGAAAAAGAAAATGAAAAAAGAATGGGTGGTTTGGATGGACGGTGGAGAAACAACAAAAATGCTCAAATCACCGAGTTTTCTCCTATTCACACCCAGCTGCCTGCCGACAGGCACCCGGATCAAACCAGAAACTTGGTCAACTATGTCCACGTGCACCAGATGTCACGAAAACCATGGTTTGGATTTGGAGGCAACCAATGTGAATTGGATTTCACTGTAGACTGGTGTGCGAAGTTTGACGGTGGGTCAAATTCAAATTTCGCTGCTGGGTCAATGTTTTTTCAGATCTAATGGAGCAGTTGGTTCGTACGGTTGAGATTTCTGCTCCAAGTTTTATATCGAGCAGTTGGATTGGGTGAGGTGTCAAATAGATTGGGCCGGCATGAATACGGCCCGTTTAAATATGACTCGGTATGGTACGGTTCGTATTTTTAGACCGTGTTAAGATGGGCTAATTAGGTTCAATGGATCCAGTTGACACGTGACTCGTCGAAGGCCATGTCAACTTGAAATCCAATAGACCGGCTCATTTAAAGTCAATTTATTCAATTACACTTTGTTTTAAAGAAAAAAATTCATAATATTATTACATTTATATCTTAAACTAGTCTCTTGGCACATGCTCACGCATGTGTTAATTGAATTTCTTTTTTCTTTTATTTTTAGAATTAAGGAAAGATAACATGAGTAGTTATGTTCCATAAAAATATGACATATTATCTGATTTTGTTTTTTTTAATATGAAAAAAATGTAAATTTACCATATTATCCTCATTTAATTAATAATTTCAATTTTTAATATTTGAATTAACCAATGACATTTTTTGGTATTTTGAATGTTTCACCATTCTCTGCCTTTTGCTTTATATATATAGATTCAAGTCTAATTCTTTTATCTAAAATATATATTAAAATTTAATGTTTTATTTATATATAAAATAATGATTTTGTTTTTCAAGTTTCAAGTTTTAAAACCCAAACAATAATTTAGCCATTTTCTATTTAAATGTAGTTATTGATCTTTTTGTAAATAACAAATAATAAATATTATTAGTATATATATAATTATAAAAAAGATTTAAATGAAGTTGTAAACAAAAATTACAAAAAAAATTCAATACATAAGTCAAATTTGGTGTGAGCTCATATCTACCCGTTTAATGACCCAGCACAAGTATGGACTCGGGCCATGAACTCGAGTCAAAATTGATAATTTTCATAAATAGGAGGTCTGGCAAGACTTGTTTATTAAATAATTTTCATGATATGCAATCAGGGATGGACCCACAGTGGGGTCAATGGGGAACGACCCTATAAACTCCATGGAAATAAGCTTGAAGGTCCCCTTAAGTTGACTATGCCCTCCACTTGCTTGTTGTTTGGCCTGAACGAAATGGTTGCTGCACGAGGAAGAAGAAGAAGAACTGCTTTGTTTCTTTTTTTTTTTTTTTTTTTTTTTTTTGGGTTTTATTTAAGTTAAAGCTGGCAAAACGATGTCGTTTTGGCCTAGTGAGTTTTTAATAAAATGAACTGGCCAAAACAACGTCGTTTTAGCCTAGAGAAATTTTTTAAAAAAAATGATCTAACCAAAACGACGTCATTTTGGTCCAGGTCTTTTAAAAACAAATTAAAACAGCCCCAGCTAATTCTAAAACCCCTCCACCCATCCCAGCATCTCCCAAAACCCCAATTCTTTTGTCCTGAACCCTAAATCCCCAATCTTCCCCCACCCCCCCAACCCCCCTCCCAAAAAACCTTTAAGCCCCATCCCCTCCATTGTTGCCGCTGCATCCACCACCTCATAATTCAAGTAAATTCTAACTCTAAGCCTAAATTAATAGAATTGAAATTATGATTTTATTATTTTGTTTTGATTTATTGGATGTTTCATTTATGAATTTTTTGTAGTTAATTGGTATAAATTTGGTGTTTTCTTTCATTGATGTGAGTTATTACTTCGAAACAAAATGGGAGATCAATAGTTGAGTGATAATTTGCTTGTTTACGTTGAGAATGATGTTTTTGCTTGTATTAAAAATAAAGCTATAATGCTACGTTTTCAAAATATGAAACCTCGTCGTAGACAATTGTAGCTTGTAATATTGTTTTTTCTTTTATAAAAAAAAATGTGAATTATGAATCAACGTTTCATTTCTAATCTTATTTTGATCGGAAAAAAAATTCGAATTTTTACACTATGACCCTATGAGGTAAGATTTCTGGGTCTGTCCCTGTATGCAATTAGATGAAAAATGATTTTTGGCAGAGAACGAAAATAAATGTTTCGTGCATGAAACATGCCAATTATGAAATTCTCCTCAGGGTCAGAGATAGGGTAGGGTCAAGACAAACCATTACGTCTCTTGTATAAATTACAAAACGAAATATCCCAATCAAGATGCGAATCATGCAATAATATACAATGCTTACATTACGTCTCTTGTATAAACAACTTCTCTATTGTTGTTGACTTAATATAAAAATGGATCAAAATTTGGAGGATCATAACAGAAAGATCACTAGCGTATTCCCCACTAGTGTATTTGCCCGGAAGGAGGCCACAAGTGATAAATCCAATCCACATACCATTGCAAGGAATGTTGAAATACTACGATTAATAACATCACATGACAGTATTCTAATACCACCACAATCCCACACAAGTGCCTAGATTGTGGTGGTATTACATGTGTGGCTCGCCGAATGAAGGTAGATAGCTGGTACCAAACTCAGCTTCCATGCACTTGGCTTGCCAGAATACATTAGTTCCCTCTTCTAAAGAAAGACTGTAAAATTCAACACTACCCAACATATGGGGGTGTGACACCTTTTTATTTCCCTCAGGTTCCACTTGTAAAACAAATAAATACAATAGTAGAAAAGAAAAAGAAAAAATCATTATATATATATATACACATATATATATCTCGCAGTTAATCTAAATTAGCACTTTCTGAACTGTTTATTAACGATTGGCAAAAAGGTGCATGTCTAACCTAAACCATATTAAATAGCTAAGCTTCTGAGCTCCTTCTTACAGATGGTGCTGCAACTTTGTGGACCAGACCCTTCATTCTCTGAATTATGTCTTCAAATGATGGCCGCTGTTCTGGGTCACTGCTTGTTATTGACAAGAATGATTTTAGTTCAATTTGCAAGTTCCAAGTTTTAGTAAAGAAAAACGAGCTAGCTGAGTGTACCTTCGCCAACAGTCTTCGATGACCAACACGACTTGGGGGTCGAGGCCTTCTGGTATGTCTAATCTTCTATCCGTAAATCCTACAATTCCAACAACCTTCCAAAAGAAATAAACAATTTTCAATGAGATTCAAGAACCACAGAGCATCAAGGTTATATGTGCACATGTGTGCTCACTCAGAAAAAGAGAGAGAACCTGTAAATAATTGAGGTTATTCCATGGAATCGATTCGGTCATTAGTTCCCACAGGATGACACCAAAGCTAAACACATCAGACCTGTTTAAAGAGAAGGCAGCTCAATGCATTGGCAAAAAAACATTTGCACAAAAATGGGAGCAACGACACGTATACAGCAGACACATAGATTCCCAGAAAGTTTAGCAACTGTTTATTTAATTGACTTTTAAAGGTCAGTTTTCAGAAATTACTTCTCATTTGAAGGTTCATTTCGAAGGACTTCAGGGGCCATCCACTGAGGCTGCATTTAGAAAAATAATGACGTCGAAGTAAGATTATTTAATAAAGGTAGTCACATGAATCAGAAAAATTACAAAAGCGAAGCTTATCACTTAAATCACTTTTCAATATCTTCTTTTTCAAATTTCTGTAGGGTATAGCCTATCTGTGAGCACAGTTCGTAACTAAAAGACCTCAGAAAGAGATCCTTACTGTTCCTCTTCCAGATTTTGCAGTCAAGAAGGTTGCATTCTTCAATTTCGACAAGCCAAAGTCACCAACCTGACAGAAAAAGCGTTTGTCTGAGTGACGGGTAAATACTTATTCTGCTTGAATAACTAGTGGCCAGTTCACATTACCTTCACAGTCCAGTTCTTATCAACCAGCAGGTTAGACGATTTTAAGTCTCTGTGAACTATAGGTGGATTCCTATGATGCAAGTAATTCATGCCTCTAGCCTGCATTATAAGAGTAGATTTGTTATTTTATTGACAGCTGAAAGGCTTAAAAACACTCTTATGTAAAATTAAAAATAAAAGAACTGATCCTCGCATGACTTTGTAAGCAAAACTCATACACAAATTGCATAGTGTCACACCCTGTTGTCAATAGCCAAAGTTGGATTTGCGCACATTTTGTGCATCTAATTCTGTGACAGCATAATTTTTGTTGTGATGAAGACATGAACACATGCAACCGTGCACAGACACAAATACACAGAGAGAGAAGGAGAGGGACGTACAACATCAAGGGCCATCATTAGCCGTCGTCTGATGTCTAATGTCTGATTGTTCTTGTGAAGTTGTTTAAAGAGACTTCCCCTAACCACACAAACAGAATCAATGTAATATTAGCCTATAACCGCCATATCATGAGGAGAACGGTATTAAATGGTTTGCATTTATTAAGCCTTCACAAGATCGGTACCAACAGACCCAAAAAAAGAAGGCATAATACGAACTGACATAAACGTGGTATAGTTCAAAATTAACATAACATGAAATAGTAACCTAATGCGTCAACTCTTAATATGATTTGTTGACTAATCATTGAAAAGTAGCATACTTCCAATTACCTAGGTAAGTACTCTGTAACAATGGCAAGCCGTTCTTGTGAACATATTGCTCCCATAAACAACAAAACATTAGGATGCCGCAATCTTTTCATTATATCAATCTAAAGAATTCAAAAGAGATCTTGGGATCAGCTGCTTTCTTTCTCAAACAACAATTACAAACAATAAAAGTCAATTGAGAATTTATATCACCTCCTTTTTGTAGTCATGTAAAATCCCCTCACTATATTCATTTTTGAAGTACACCTTAATGGCAACAACCTAAAAACACAAAAAAGAAAAGAAAATATTGGGTCAAAATTTCAAATTATCGATATAACTTTGGTTTTAGTAAGATATTAAGGAACTCTTTAAATTTAGACATGCACCGATCCATTCCAGATTCCACGATAAACAATGGCACATGAACCTGGGAGGCAAGAACAAACAAACATGCACGTTTAGAAACCAAAGACCACCAAACTCATTTCACATTTTAAGAAATTCCACCACATAAAGTAAGGATAGCTACTAGGGCCGAAAAGAAAAAGTTCCGAAAAATAGCTTTGGTAACATCACCTAATTTCATTTATATTAACAGACTGTCAAACATGGAATAACTAACAAATCTCCTGTCAGAGTTATATATTGAATGTCCTAACAAAGCTGCAAGAGTGATAGTGGGTTCTACCAAACCCCAAAGCATTCAGGCTTTTTAAATTTTGAATAGGTACTATATTTAAAGCACAAATAGCCCCCTTTACCGTGTCCAATTGCCTCTCCCAAATGCAAGTCATCCCAGTGAATCTCACAATCCTCCCTGGGATTAGAGTCATTAACACCTTTGCTTGAACAACTACCATGGTTGCCAATGCTCTCCACAGAACCTGGTAATTGTTTACCATTTTGTTCATGCACTGCATCTTGTATCTCTAAAGCATTCAAGTTGTGTTCTTCAGGTTTCGGATAACCTGGTCTGGATAACCTAAAACATTCGTTGCACTCCCTTGAAGAGGCTAAAACAGAATTCTCGCCTGAAGGAATTGGATTTTTTTGCCAAAATACATTTGAATGAGTTCTCTTATCTTCGAGAGAAGAATTTATTTTGTTGGATCTTTCTTCCTTACTGTCTGTATCAACAAAGCAGTGGCATGAACTTGATCCTTTTGACTTTCTTGGGGAATTAGGATCCTCTTGTTTCCCACCTTTGTTGGTTCCTATAATTTGCAGCTTTGCCAAGAACTTTACTGCCTGCACCCATCTCAACCAAATAATTAGACACTCTCTAGAGGTTAATGAAGAGGAAGAAAAAAAACATAGACATCATGATTTAATATGACGGAGACTCACCAGCGTACCAGGTTTCTCTAAGTTAGCATCTTCAGTGTCTGTTGTAGAGTCCTCCCTGACCTTGTCCATCACACTTGAATTGCACACATCATCTCCATTTTTTGATAGAAGTTTTGAGGCCTGATTGGTTCACCAGTATAATGAGTAAAACACAATTTCAGCTATCTGAATGAAATCACAAGAATTGTGGTTGTGTAGCATAAGCACCAGATTAGAAACAGATGATGCAATCTGTGGCACTGGTACAACAGGTGGTCGCGGGTACTTTAACTGCCATCCTCTATGTTGGGCATTGGCAAGATCCTTGAATGCTCTCAGATCTGATTCTGTTCTATTACACAATGCCGCATCAGTTGAAACTGTGATAATACCGACAAGCTCACCATCTTCATATAAAGGGCTTTTGGTCACCATCGCCATAAATATTTCTCCAGACCTCTTCTTAAAAGGGAACTGACCTGACCATGATAGCCCAAGTCTCAAACTTTCCATGATTCTCTTTAGAAGTGCATGGTAATCTTCAGCAATGAGGAGCTCAGCAACCCTTTGCCCAAGGACTTCATAGTCCTTCCATCCATAGAGATTCTCAGCAGAACGATTCCTGTATTAAACTCAAATTCTTGAGCTCAAACTGATAATATACGATATAGTGCCGAAACATGTCAATCTTTTCTGGGATAAACACTAAACAAGGAACAATTTTTTGAAGCAATTTAACTTCACATGAGCTAACACATGCAAGCTATCAACGACGGCGTCTTTAGTAGGATTTCAGAGGTCAATCCAACATGCATGAGTCATGACAAATTAAATTCCAGGATACAAAACATAACCACAATTCAGTGAATATATATGTTCATTGATATAAATAATGCATAACCAGTATCACAACAAAAATTTACAGAAAAGTATCAATATAAAACAGTTTTTCCTACATTCATATGTCATGAACTCAAATTCTTGAGCTCAAACGGATCATATGTGATGTAATGTTGAAAGCATGTCAACATTTGTTAAGGTAAACGCTAAACACGCACAAATTTTGGAGGAATCTAGCTATTCTTTACCAAAAATCCTCGAAATTTTTTAAGAGTCAACAAAACACATTCGCGCAATGCTGAAGTTCATAAATTAATCAACTGTTTCATCAAGATCATATATACAGTACCACCACCCTATCACAGTGACACAGTCAAAATACATACAACTTCAGAAACCAACAAAACGAATCAAACGACGCAGTTTTACAATTACGTACCAGTAATTGATCTCTCCAGAGGAAGCTGTGCACACATGAACGGCGTGGCCCATGGAGTCCAATACGCCCTTGTACGGACTGCCAGAGAGGAAGAACCCGGGCAGATGGAAGCTCGAACCAGAATAGTCTGACGTCAGCACCGCATCGTCTTCTTCTCGCTTCTCCTTGTTCTTCCTCCCGTGGTGCCGAAGCTCATGAAGCTCTGCTCTGAGCCTGGCGTGGGTCGCCTCCAGACTCTGGCACCGATCGAAGAGAACTCGGTACAGACTCTCCGGTGAGTCGTGGGCCGCCATGGCCGTAGTCTCCGAGGTCTCGCGGCAGTGGAGAAGAAAGGGGTGTGCGCAATGCGCATAGCTGTAGCTGCTATATAGCTTTTGGCTGTCTTCTTTACGAAGAGCTGCTCCCGAAATGGTTCCCTCTCTCTCTTTATGTGTGTTGTAATATTTTATATTTTATATTATTATTTTAATTCTCTGTGTGTACAAATCGCTGGACGAAGCACGGACCCGCCACGTGTCCTCACCGAACGGAGGGAGTTATCAGGTGCGGAGATGTGTATTGCTTTGCGGCCACTAGTTTAACTTTAAAGCAAATTGGGAAGCGGGAAGCGGTTGGTTGCTTAATTCACGACTTTATTTAATTGTTTTGCCAACGCAGCCCAACTCCATCTCTATCCTCACCATCACCATCACCATCACCATCACTAGCAAACGAATGGTTTCATGGCTTGATTTAAGCCAAACCGTTGGATGCATCTTGTCCATGACTTGAGAGAATGAGTTCATTCGATTTTAGCATACATTTCAAAGTCAACACTCAATTTCTCATCAGGTTTTCCCATGTGTCCCTACCCCATGTGGAGGGGCATTGTACACACACGTGACTTCATCAACAGAAACGACGTCGTTGGAATATCCAACCGTCGTTTGAATAAGGAAACCGTTGGCGGCAGTTTTTCAAAACGAAACGTCCACCCCGCGCCTCCAACAACTGCTCTTCTTCGCCATCGCTCTTGTTCCCACTCACTCACTTTCCAAAGCCAACTTTCAGTCACAGAAATCGCAAAAGAAAATGAGAATCCAAACGCCAAAATTAGGGCACAAGACCCTCCTCTTCCTTCTGTGCTTCATCGGGTTTCTCACTCCACACGACGTCGTCGCAGTTCAGATTCTTTCCAAATCGAAGCTCGAGAAGTGCGAGAAGACTTCCGATTCTGGAAACTTGAATTGCACCAAGAAGATCGTCCTCAACATGGCCGTTCCTAGCGGCGCGGTAAACGGCAAACTCACCATCTCTAATTTCACTGCTTGAAATTAAATGCAGGTAATGATTGTGAGATGTTTGATGAAATTACAGAGCGGCGGAGAGGCATCGATTGTCGCCGAAATCGTAGAGGTGGAAGAGAATTCAAGCCAAAAGATGCAAAATTTTCGAATTCCCCCTGTTCTGACCGTCAACAAGTCCACGGCTTATGCATTGTTTGAGCTTACGTACATACGAGTAGGGTAACTGAAACTTTCTTGTTAACTTCTTACTTGGTACTTTTCGATTTCCATATATGTTTTAATTGGTACTTGTAACATTTGTATAGGATGTTGCCTTTAAACCGGAAGAGTACTATGTTAAGACCCGCAAATGTGAGCGAGATGCAGATGCAAAAGTTGTGAAGATATGTGAGAGGCAAACAATCTTTTAACCTTTTGTTTGTTTCCTTCACTTTCTTACTTCACTGGTTTTTAATTTTAATTTTTATTGTGTTGAGCTTTTGATTGGTACAAGCTAAAGGGTGTTCTTATAGTTTATTGTCTCATGCCAATATAGGGATTTTACCTTTGGGATTATACATTTTAATAGTTACTTGGAAGCTACAGTTAGGATCATAGATTGTGTCCATTTGTCGGGTGAAAATATTGGACCAAAAACTTGGGTGCAAAAGAAGACATAATATAAAGGCGATGACTGCTTAACCACGTTTACTTTGGTTGCCATGTGAAATGAGTTTGCTTTACTTATTTTACTCCTCAAAAGTCTGAGTTTGCTTATACACCTTCTTGCTAGTCCTAGTCATTATTGATGCCGATTTACATTAAAGTGTTGTTTTAGAAATTATCATTTTGAGGTAGATTCTTATGTTTATATTACCAAGTAAAGGACATTATATATGTTTTACGGGGCTCAGATGTCACAAAGATCACTAGAAATGTACTTACTCTGTATAGAGAGAGACCTATTAAAAAAACATCTGTTTGGTCACTTAAGAGTTTTGAATGCTTAGTTGGACACTTAGTACATGAGGACTCAGTGTGAAGGAAGGTTCAAGACCTTCATCATATTTGGTAGATTCGTGATGTTCAATATACGCAAGAAAAAACCTCTTCAATTTTGATGTTATGGTATTTAAATTTATATTAAATTTAACCGTAATTTTATTGTGGTGAGTGATAGTGGTGTTTCTGGAAGCAGCTACAGTAGAGCCTTAATTTATTTATCTATTTAAATTTGGTTTCGTTAACTAACATGCTGAGGAAAAAAAAAATTCATTTAGAAGGAGGAAGGGTGGGGAGTGGTGTATCTTGCCTTCATAGACAAACATCATATTCTTTACCATGTTTATATATATGACCAGTGGACTTCCGTTGCATGTTCTGTAGGTTACGGGATGAAAACGATCACATTATTGAGCACACTGAGGTGCCATTTCTACAATCTTTAGTATATGTACTTTCAAAGTTATCATTTTATTTTGCTTTATTTTTATTTATTTTTATTCTTTCTTATAGATCAAGGGTTCTATAGCATTATATGTATACATATTAGGCCTTGTGACATCCCACAATAAGTGTTTCCCCACGTTCTCACACTATTTAAGTACATCCCATAATAATATTGGTTGCATATGGTTATTTTCTCTGATTATTTATGCTTGTATTGCTATTTAGCTTACTTTCTAAGGCCACTCACAATTTATTAGTAGATCGCTCTTGTTGAATTGATGTTGAAAATGTCCAAAGTTATATGTTCAGTAGTCTATTGATGCTTAACAGTTATTATTTATGGTAGATTTTTGTAATCAGTTTGTGATGTATTCTTTTCTTCCATTCTGTCTGTTATGTTCTGCATAGCCAATCTGCTGTCCTTGTGGGCCTCAGCGGCGGGTACCTTCATCATGTGGAAATGTGTGTAAGTGCATTTTAACTTGTTTGCATTTTCTTAAATTTTACTTGCACAATGCCTCTTGCCATCTTGGAGTATTGAATTTTAGACTTTTCTTTTGTTAGTTGATAAGTTGATGAAGGGAAAAGCGAATACTGCCCATTGTGTCCGTTTTCCGGGTGATTGGTAAGGTCCTTGCTTTAAGTTCTAAGTTCTTCATTGTGCTTATGTTTTTCTTGAAAGGTTCATAATTGATTTTTGATAAGTTCCAGCCGACATGCCATAGCTCTCTGGTTTATAGAAATTTATGAGGCTATGTCATTTTCCGTGGTAGTAGTTGTCTTTTTCTCATATTCTTTTTGTTTTACTTTCAATATTTTAAGATTTCATATAGGGATCATATTCATAAATTTTCATGAATTTGTGAAATATGATACATTTCTACTGTCAAATAATCTTATCAAATTTAAAATTATGTGAAGAAGCTTGTTTTTCCTTTTCTTCTTGGGAGTTACGAAGGTTGAACTAAGATTACTAAGAGTCCGATATTGTTTTGCTTGAAATAATTGTTTATGTTTGACAATATAAGTGATGGAGGCTACAACTATAAACAATTCTACATGGCCAATATATTTCCTTTTTGATGTTCTTGTTTATTCATACCCTTTGGCCATTATCCGAGAAGTGAATTTTTATTTGTTTATTTTAAAATCCACTTAGGTTTCATGTTTTCGGTATTGGACAGCGGTCAGTGGGATTCAGTGTTCTAATTCAGGTGAAGACAGGATCTAAAGTTTCGGTATGTTGCTTCTCCACATATGTGTACCATTTCTATATTCATTGCTTGTAATGTAATGTGCTTGTTTCTGCTATAGACAATTACTCATTACAATCTAATTCAGTCTTGTAACATGAGTTTGAAATCTTTTGTCTTTTTCCTGTGGCGAAAAATTAGAGCTCATTTCATGTTGAACTACCTATATACAATTTTCCTTTCCCCGTGTAATGAAGTTCCCTTTTCCCTTTTACTTTACCGCACTTCATCCTCTTATCTTGCTCTTAGTAATGTTAAATTTCATTTCATAACAAAGATTTATGGATACTTTATTTGCCACCAGGAAGTGCTTGTTGGTCCTGAGAATAGAACAGCGATATCCAATGATAATTTTTTACGAGTTAATCTTATTGGAGATTTTGTTGGATACACAAATATACCATCATTCGAGGATTTCTACCTTGTAATTCCGAGGCAGGTATGCATGCTCCACCAATGTAATTTCCGTTAGTACCATTGACATATATGCTTTATTTGAAGTATGCATTTCTTATGGGAGTAATTAGGTACAGCTATTCTTTATGTTAATGGTTTTGTAAAAGCGAATGTAATAGGTCAAAAGTTCACTACACTATTTGCACTATCTTTGGATGGTAGTGTGATTTGAGGTTAGTGTTGGTCTGAGGTTCCAATATCACTCATTGGTTTGCATTCACATTTTAAATAAGTGTGATTGTTGAAAGCATCTGCTATGAGACTATGATAATATTAGAGTTACTATAAAAGATCAAGCTAATCGATTAATTTTTCTATATAAACAGCCATGCAGTATTTGTTATTTTCTTCTAGTGCTGAGAGTTTCGTTTTCCTTTTGTGGAAGGGGGGTCCTGGTCAACCCCAGAACTTGGGGAGGAACCTTTCTATGTGGATGCTGCTAGAGAGAGTAAGGTTTTCTTTAGATGGTGTTGAATGTAATAAAATTGGTGTCAGTTATGAGGCTTTCAATGGGCAGCCAAACTTTTGCTCTTCACCATTCTGGAGTTGCTTGCATAATCAATTATGGAATTTCTGGGAGGTTTGTATATCCAGCCTGAAAGTTGTATCTTATCTAGTGCATGCTTCTCTTTTTGGTTAGGTTTGTCTATCCAGTCTGAAAGTTGTATCTTCTCTAGTGTATGCTTCTCATTTCAGTCTTATTTTTGTTGAATGTATTGCTATAGTTACATATTGGTATTGCTATAGTTTCGCATTGCTGACATTGGTACTGAAAGTTCCATAAGTGCTTCAAGTTCTTTACATAAACTATATTGAAATCTCATGTTCTATCATATATCGTTGGCAGAAAGGCAGGAGTCTCTTTCTCCTTTTGTACAATGAGATATTTCAGAGGATTGTGGCTGTTTTCTATTTGGTGCATGGTTATTTTATAGCTGATGTGGAAACCGAGGAAAAAGTTTTTTCTTTCTGACAGGCTGACCAGAACCGAATTGAAAGGAATCAGTTGCCACTTTATGGTGTGGAAGGAAGGTTTGAAAGGATAAACCAGCATCCAGTTATGTCTCAGAAATTTTAGAAGTACATTCACAACAATTTCTATCATCGGGATTTATTTATCATTTCTGATTGGATGCAGAATGCAGGAACTCATTCGTTTTCCATAGGAGTCACTGAAGTTATTAATACTAATCTCTTGATAGAACTAAGTGCTGATGACGTAGAATATGTCTACCAAAGGTTAGTATTTTGGGAGTTTCACTAATACACCCAAAATAGAGGCTGAAATTATAAAAAAACCCAACATGAAAAACACTTTAGAAACACACCCAAAACCATTTATTACACACACTCGAAACTCATTTATAAACACACCCAAAAAATATACAATTGTTGATTTTTGGGTTGATTTTGGGTGTGTTTCTATGTTTTAAATAGTGTTGGGTTTTTTTTATAAATTCATGTCTAGAATTGGGTTTATTTATAAATTTATATAGTATTTTCTGGCTACTGTATTTGACTTATTTTAGAAGGTTTTTGTATTTATCAAAAGGCATGAACATCAACTCCCTATAATGAGTATGCTTGATTGGCTTGTATTTGAAATAATTGTTTCATCTATGGGCTATTCATTTTCGAGGTTTTTAGCATTTCCTTAAGCACTCTTACTGATTTTATTTTCAAGAATTTATTTGTTAAGTTGAGATGAACTTGGAAAACAAAGATGCCATGGCTCCTTTTTTTTACTTTTATTAGCTAAAGTTCTGACTGATATGCTGAAAGCTGTATAGGTTCTTTTCTTTTTGGTTAAGCCAAGTCACTCATGTAATTGATGGAAATAAGTAGTTTTAAACATTGTATCTTATCTCTGTTTGCCAGAGGTTCTGAGGGAGGCACCTTTATGTGTCTCTATTATCCCCATCTCTTTGCCTCTACATGTACATGATGGGGCTGGATGTGAGGGAGGGTATTCACTTGATACGTATAGTCGGTCCATTCTCTAACAACTTAAACTTTTTGAATTTAGTAGTTTTCTAATAATTAAAATGTGTCTTCACTTGGGACATCTAGAATCCATATAACCAAGATTTTTAAGCTTCATATAACTTTTTTATCCTCGTTAACTTTTACTTATTGCCGAAGGTTTTTTTTATGCATTTGTAGGAGTCCTGGGAAAATCGTAAGTATCAATGTCCCAACGTTTGAGGCCCTTACTCAATTTGGAACTGCGACAATCACAACAACGAATACTGGTGAAGTGGAAGCATCATATAGCTTAACGGTACCTTATTGACTATTCTTAAATTTTTAATATAGACTTAAATAGATTATTCTCTTTTCTTTTTCCCTTTGATTTTAGGATTTATCCAACTTAAGATGCTAGAGTTAACATGCTCTTTTTATAAAATGGAAAACTGTTGGTCTATTCACTCTAGATGTTGTGACAGTTGGGATTGTTAGTGAAGCTGCAAATGAACTTAGAGACAGGGTTAATGCTTAAATTTGATTGTGATTATTGCACATGAAGCATTTTTGTCTACAACTTCAGTGAATGGCTGTTGCAATATGTAGTTTCAGATGTGATGAATTTTCCCGTCTTGCAGTTTGATTGCTCTAGTGATGTCACCCTCATGGAGGTACTTTTTCCCTACTGCCCTTGTATTCAGTTTTGAACATGATGATTATATTCACACAAATGATACTGTTTTTCAGGAACAATTCCTTATTATGAAGCCAAAAGAAACAACAATGCGAGCCTTCAAACTTTACCCAGCAACTGATCAAGCTGCAAAATATGTTTGTGCAGGTAAGATGAGACATAGTTCAGACAGATGATAAAGTAGCCCAAAGTATTTATGGTAGGACTAACTTTTTTAGTTTGAATGCAGCTATACTAAAGGACTCTGATTATAAAGAAGTAGATAGAGCCGAGTGCCAATTTTCTACAACATCTACTGTTCTTGATAATGGATCACAGGTTTAGTCATAACGATGTTTTACCCTGTAAATCTTCATTCCTTTCAGAAGAAAGTTAAGAAGTTCTCTGAAGTCCAATGTATGAGGCACTTTAGATCGGCATGATTTCTTTAAGTCCGTTTTAAAGACAAGAGAAATGATACTTTGAAATGAAATTAACCTTCTGGAAATTGATTTATGTGATGAATGAACCACTGAAGTCATTAATTGCTGCAGGGTAATCCTTTTAATCCACCAAAGACAGGCACAGCCGGTTTCTTTGACTCTGTTGAAAGCATTTGGAACAATGTGTGGAATATTTTGGTAGATTTCGTCACTGGAAAAACTTGCAGGTACTTGCCTGGTTCAGTTTTTTGTTCTTTAAACTTTTTTATGCTCTAAATTTTCATTTTTAGTATTGGTTTGGATGGCAGTGAAAAGGTCCTTTGGTAACCTTTCTAACGTGGACTTGTCTGTTCAAAATGCTGGTTGCATTCTAACGATTCTTAATCAAGCCACGCCTTGCACCCACGATCAGAGATTATGCTCAGCTATCATATATATTCTTTTTCTTCTTGTGTATGCATCTGTTGGATTGTAGTTGAATTTGCACATTTTAAATCTCTTTTGATTTGTATGAAATCTGGTCAATTTCTCTTTTTATCTTTTTGTGGACAGAAGGAAATGCCCCAGGTTCTTTGACTTCCGGTGCCACATACAGTATATATGTATGAGTTGGATTGTGATGTTTGGTCTACTTTTGGCAATTTTTCCAACAGGTAAACCTACTTTTTCCTGAAAATTTACATTTAAGCAGATGATTTCAGAGATGCAACAAATACATAAAATATTATGCATGGATGTGCAGTGGTTGTGCTACTGTGGCTTCTACATCAAAAGGGACTTTTTGATCCTTTATATGATTGGTGGGAAGATCATTTTTGGGATAATAATCAGCACACCAAGGATATTCGGAAGCGCAGAAGTGACGTAGAACACTCGCACACTCATGTTCATAAACATCATGGGCATGAAGCAAGAAACCACAAGCATGGTTCTCATCATAAGCGAAGAAACATTCACAATGATCACAGGCATAACCAGTTCGAAAGAGGAAGCGATTACTGCTACCATCTCCACCATGTCCACAAAGACAAGCCCAAGCATGGGAGACGAAAGCATTCAAGTATTATGCAGAAAGTTGATGAAAATACCGGATACCACGGCCATAAAAAAGAAAGGAGAATAACAAAAGATTATTCATAGTGACCAGACCAGACCAGACGCAATCAAGTGAACGCAAGAGTGAGTTTGGTATGTACAAAAGGCTTTTGGATAACAATCAGTTTAATCTGCATGCTAAACAGAGAGAGTAGTGGCACTTACAGTTTTATACTCTTTCAGTGAATTTATTTTCCTGTTTATATCTATTTTCTTTGGGTCGTGGGGGAATGTAAATGTAAAGATCTTTTTCCACACAGAATGTTACTAGTGCCTTTGTTAGATAATTTTTTTTAAATGTTGGATATCTTTGGCATTCCTTTAACCGGTTCTTTTCTCTGCTTCCACCTTTACATGGAGATAATTAAACATTGAGAAGGATCTAGGTAGAAGCATGCCAATCTTTTTTCTTTGGCTTTATTGTATTACATAATTCATTTCATAATAGTGGTTTGAACCCGGGACATTCAGAGGAATTCCGAATCCTGACCAATCTAACCATATGAAAATTGCTTCTTATTTTAGAAAATATTCAAACTGGGGGAATGTCAAGCTCAATGCTTCTTGTTTCACAACATAAAAGCACATGGTGGCTCTACCATCATGTAGAAGTTTGGCGACTGGAGTTGACAGGGAGAAGAGATGGAGAGCAAAGGGTGGAGAGCGAGGGCAAAGGGGGAGAGAGACGGAGTAAGGAAGGGGAAGAAATGAAAAGTTGCAGATTTTTTTTTTTTTTTTTATCCACATGTCACAATGTAATTGGACAGATGAGCTCTACTTATCTTCCACGTCACACTTAATAAAATTTATAACGGCATGGACCATTTGTGATAAAAAGCCCAAACGTTAAGGACTATTAGTGTCACAAAAAAACCTCAAGGACCATTCGTGATAATTTCATAACTGTGAAGGACCATTTGTGATAAAAAGCCTTTATAAAATGGAAAACTGTTGGTCCATTCACTATAGATGTTGTGACAGTTTGGATTGTTATTGAAGCTGCAAATGAACTTAGAGACAGGGTTAATGCTTAAATTTGATTGTGATTATTGCACATGAAGTATTTTTGTCTACAACTTCTGTTACATGGAGATCATTAAACATTGAGAAAGATCTAGGTAGATGCATGCCATTCTTTTTTCTTTGGCTTTATTGTATTACATAGTACATTTCATAATAGTGGTCTGAACCCGGGACATTCATAGAAATTCCGAATCCTAACCAATCTTATTTTAGAAAATATTTAAACTGAGGGAATGGCAAGCTCAATGGTCCATGCTTCACCATCTAAAAGCACATATGGTGGCTCTACCCTCTCAGACATTTCTGGTTCAAGTATAGGCTGTTTCCTGTTATCTTTCTCCAGGATACGAATGTGGAAACCTTCCGGAAATTGTAGCCCAGGAGTTCGGACTATATTTCCTCCTCTGATTGCTTCCCACCTGAAAATTTTGGATGTGAACATGTTACTCTCTCTCTCTCTCTCTCTCTCTCTCTCTGTGATTACAGGACATTAGTTCTTTCTTACCTGTACTTTGTGACTAAGCAATGGAGAAACACAGCCATCTCCACTTTAGCAAAGTCTGCTCCTACGCAGAGTCTCTGTCCGCCGCCAAAAGCCATGAAATCTTTGGATGCGCTATTTGTTTCCGTTCCCTTTAAATTAATCAAACCAACTTCATTGCAGTTTAGGACTGAGAATAAATGGTAGATTAGCTAGAACAATACATTCTTTCAACCTACCTTCCATCTCCATGGATTGAAGGCCACAGGATCGTCATATATTTCTGGGTTTAAGTGTACCGTTGTGTTACTAACCATAACTCCCCAACCTGCTGGAATGGTATATCCTACACCCACACCAAATGGTAATACTGTGTCAAATTAGAATGATTTCCTATAACAGGAAAACAATACTCTATGTCATTCCTACATACCCTTGAAATTGATTTCCTTTAGCGCTTTTCGAAAGATGCATGGAGCTATGTTTCCCAGTCTAACCGTTTCGTTGATGAACTGCAAGTTGAAAATTTTAGTTTGTAAAACAGAGGTTTGAATAGAGTGGATTTCCTTTCAAGAACTGAAAGTGAAAATGTCAAGATTCACCTGAAATGTGAATGTCATTGATTTATATTCTTTCCATGTGAATCAGCATTTTTCCTTTGTTTTAGAATCATTTCGTGCTCTTCCTGGCATAAGATAGAAAATGTTTATAAGGTTATATATATATATATATATATATTATAAACTGTTTGGTAACACTTTGAGAGTTCAGACCGTTAATTGCTTTAGCACCAGAGGGTGGTCTGATAGAAACTTGATGGCTAAAGTCATAGCAATTGAAGTTGTTTCAAAGCTCGCAAAAAGCAGCACAAACATTAAGTCCAGAGAAATCTCCTCTGTCAAGATTGTTCCCTCTTTCTCAAGTTCTTCAATCATGTAATCGAAAAAGTCGTTTGGCTGATCTCGGGACTTTCCTCGTCTTTCCCGTAGCATGTCTTTCAGCATTCCTATCGCCCTTTTCCTTCCCTGCATAAAAATTTGAAAGTGATTGAGACCAAGAGGAGAGACTACATTCTCAGAACTTTTTAGTTTTAAAGTCAGCTTTGAGGATCTAATTCAATGCCTCTTTGAGCTTTTGCCTATCCATGGAGAAATATGACCTTGTGAAAGAAAGTGACAAGTGTTGATTTACGTTTACCTGCAAACATTTGTGATAAGCTGTTCCAGGGATGTCCAAAGGAAAGGAGATCAATCCTTGTATGAATGCAACAAAGTTGTCCCTTAAATTCTCCGAGGACTTACTCGAATCATAGCTGATAAGTTTCTTTGCAGTGAGATCAAATATCATCTGCAAATACCAAATTAATCTGACTTCAAACAAGATATTAACTTTTAGTGAAATTTTATCAAAGAGAAGAAAGGTTAGGCAGAAAATTACACTTGCAGTTGCATCTTTTAGTTCTGTAATGTCCTGACATGACCATTGTTGTAATCTGCTGAGAGCTGCTTGTTCAACTTCAGGGATCATCTCTCTAAGGCTTTCGGGTCCGAAGAGATGCAGCATCATGTTCTTGAGATATTTGTACATAACCCCATGCAAGGAACCAACATTTTGCTTGCCAAAAATCTCTGTGAAGGTATCTGGGTACCAACTTTGAAACAAATTTCCCTCTTGTTGGAACACAAAGTAATTCAGATCCGGGTCTGTCGAAATAATAATCGGTCTTCCCACCAAATTAGTCCTGAATATTGTTCCATATCTGCAAAGTCCAAAAATGCAGGATACTAGTAAGGAATATTAAAAACAAGTATGCTTGAAAAATTGACAAAGAAGTAGCTGTTATATATGGTATCAGAAACTTCACTTTTCCATCCTTTTTTTTTTTATATGAAAGGAGGAATATCAGAAGAGGTGTTGGCAGTGAAGAGCTGTAAGGTCTCGCCTAGCAGTGGCAATCCCATTGATCCCGGTGGAAGCTTGCCATGGCATTTGGGATTTCTCCACCTGTAAACCCAATGTGTGATGCTTATAATAGCTCATGCTACCATGCACAGAGCCCACATTTTTGCCAAAGTATCAGTCCAAGTTCAGAGGTGATCTTTTAGTGAAGATTATGTTACACTTACAAGATGAGAAGAGGTTAAATAAACAGGCCAGACCAAACTAATGTCACATCATGGCTCAAATTAGTTTGGTTTATGCCTCAAACTAGTGCATAGGCGAGCCAAACCAACCCACTTTGTGACCGGTTTGATTCAGACATTTTCTTTCACAAGCAATTAAGCTTATATTCTAATATTCTTTTAAGTGTATCCAAAGAAACTTCACACTGTTGGCAAAAAAGGAAAGGGGAACTTCGAATGCTTTAACCAGTTTGAGGGACAATTGAACTTCTTTTGTGAAACTTCTTTTGATCTAGATCCTATTTACCTATGTTGGTGTGAAAACTAGAATACGATTCCTTAATTAGCTGTTTGTTAATTGTAATTAGTATAGTTCACTTTTTTACCCAAGTAAGGAGGAGGGATGGCACAAATCCCTGCCGGGGCGGGTACCCGTCGGGTCCCCTATCTTAACGGGGGGAGATTTCGAGGCAAAATAAGTATCGGGTACGGGGATCCCCCGAACTTGGAAAATCCCCTATGGGTATGGGGCGGGGATGGTATTGGCATCCCCGTCCTCGAACCTGACCTGAAAATATAAATGTTTATAAATAAATATATAATTATAATATTTATGTTTAACCCTAAGTTAACCTCCCTCTCCCTATTCTTCCTAATATATGTTTATATATATATATATATATATATATAAAGCAAAAGGCAGAGAATGGTGAAACATTCAAAATACCAGAAATGCCCTTGGTTAATTCAAATATTAAGAATTGAAATGATTAATTAAATGAGGATAATATGGTAAAATCACATTTTTCATATTAAAAAATTACAAATTAAAACAAAATCAGATAATAGGTCATACTTTTATGGAACATAAGAGCATCCACAGTTTGGGGGTGGGGGGAGAGGGAGATGTATTTTCAGGGGTGTAAAGCCACTTTTACATCCCTTTTACACATCCGGGAGTTGTAAATGTAATTTTTGCTTCAATGGGAAAGATTTAAATCTAAAGTTTTTTTTTTTTTTTTTTTTTTTTTTTTTTTTTGTTTTTGTGTTAATTCTTTTTTTTAAAATTAATTTTTTGTGTATTAGGCTAATTTTATTTTTTCAAACAAATAGACCTAAAAATATTTAAATTCGGAGAAGATATGATTTCATCCAAAACAAATCAAACCAAATAATGGGCCCACATATGAATTTTGGTCTAGCAACTTTTATGCTAACTTTTCTCCACTTTAGCTCACCTTTTTTCAGCTGAGTTCCACTTGCAAGAGATGTAAAAAAATATGTACATGTACATATAAATTTGCATATCATGGTAGTGATGCAAATTTACACTTGTTTACACCTCCCCATTGCGGGTGATTTCGATCACAAAGGGTGTATATTTAACATACACCCCATTATACACCCCATACTGTGAATGCTCTAAGAGCATCCACAGTGGGGAGGTGTATATGTGGGTGTATGTTAAATATACACCCCGAGTCACCGGAATCGTCTCCAATGGGGAGATGTAAATGGATGTAAATATACATCACCACCATGGGGATGTAAAATAAAATGTATATTTACATATATTTTTACATCCCTTGCAGGCGGGACCCACCCGAGAAAAGAGAAGAAAAATGAAGAAAAGTCAACATAAAAGGCTGGGACCCACGGCTACACCCCCGAATTTACATCCCTCCATTGGAGCAAAAAACATATTTACACCCCCCCGGAGGTGTAAAGGGGATGTAAAAGTGGCTTTACACCCCCGAATTTACATCCCCCTACTGTGGATGCTCTAACTACCCATGTTATCTTTTTTTTATTATTATAAGTATTTGTGCACTAATTGGCACATGCGAAGGGGCTAGTAATTATAATATTTGTGCTTTACTTTTTATTAAATTTTAGACTTATTTATTTTTGTGAGATTCCAAAATTTGTAAGATGATCATGATGAAGATTTGGATTATATATATACAATAAGCATACTTGGTTTCCAATCTATTACAATAAGCATACTTGGTTTAAACAAAATAAAACAACTTAAACCTTGTGAAACCAAATCTATTACAATAAGCATATTTGGTTTAAACAAGTTGCACGAGGTAGTGTGCTTGCGTCCTTATACAGTAGCTTAGACAATCGCTTGTACTTAAAAAAGTTTGTTACAACTAATGTGTCAAACTGAGGAATTAATAAGGTAACTAAACTATCTAGCTAGTTACAATTCTAATCACAATTGCAAATTCAGGAAATTAATCATGAAATCTCAATCAAATTCAACAATCTAGACCCACTAAATTGATCAAGCAGGTAACTGGGATTGCCTTGCCCTTTCAAGAACAGAAAACATGAACATGGATTTGGAGGTATCCCAATAAAGCCCAATTTTATCCTTCTCCTCCAAGCCTCTCCTATGCACAAACTCTAGTCTCCAATCTCCATTGAGAATGTAACTCTCGGCCGACCCCCAAAGCTTGAAAGTCATGTGATGCCTGGTGTTTGTATCGCAGTCTTCAACTATAACTTCTATGCCCTCTCCACTCTTAACCCTTTCGGCAAACGTGTCATCCAAGTAATGCAAAACATGGTCAATGACCGGCTTTTTGGGCATTAGTAGCCTTGAGCAGCTTCCAAGGTCGCTTGCTGTCAGCTTCTTCCTGATTTTCCAAGGTCCGTGATCCTGAGGCTGTGGACTCAGCGTAGTTTCCGGCACTACTTGGTTTCTTTTCTTCTTCTTTAATTCCTTGTTCATATTATTCGTTATTTTCTTGTGTTTCGGATTAGGAGGGAATGCGGAAAATCTGAGAGGAGCAGGGTCGAATTCCTCTGCTTTTCTCTGGTTTGTGTTGTAATTCCAAGTTGGATCACACAAAGTGAGGGCAGTGGAAACTTGAACTGGTAGTGGACAAGGATTTGCACTGCTACTAGCACGACCAGGGTTTAGGGCTAGGAGTGCTGAGAGCTCATTTTCTTCCTCCATTGTTAATGCTGAAATTAATAGAAGAAAATCAAACTACAGAACACAAATGATGAATTCTAGTTGTTGGGGAGAAACGGAGAGATGGGTTTTTGTGCTTGATGCTGCTTGGAATGAAATTGCCAAGAAGTGCAAGAATTTGTAGGTATTTATAAGGTTTTTGTAGCATATCAGTTTGGGATTTGGAAACATCCTTTTTCAATTAGGGAACTTGCTTTTCCTTGTTGGGTTTGGTTTAGATGTTAAGGCTTTTTATTATATCCGTTTGGGGTTAGGAAAAAGGATACATTGCTACCCTTTTTAATCAGGAAACGTTTCGTTTCGTTTCGTTTCCTTGTTGGGTTTGGTTTAACCTTCAGTGCAGCTTAGGACTCAGAATAAAATGGTAAAGAGGCTTTGCTTGCCAATATTAGCTACAACAAAATCCCATCTCCATGGATTGAGGGCCACAAGATCATTTTTTTATATTTTTCACAATTTTTTTTTTTTTTTTTTTTTTTTTTTTTTTTTTTTTTAAATTTATTTATAAAGGACCAAGAAAGTCAGCTAAAGAGTTGAAACACCCCGAGAAAATAAAGAAGAAAAAGAAATGCTCAAGTAATAGTTTGAAAGCTTTGGTTTGTTAAAAGTTTTCTAAAATACATGAAGTATTGATGAAAATAAAAATAAATAAATAAATAGTATTATCAAAATGGGATCATAAGTTTTATCTTCTAGACTAATGGTTAAATTTTCAAGTAACTCAAAATTGTCATCATTAAGAACTATTTTTATGTCCAACAAAAATTTATATCGATAAGAATAAATAATAAATAAATAAAAGACATGATATTCCCATGAGTGCGGATCGAGAAACTAGTATATATATATATATATATATTATGCATTATAGCTAGAGTGGCTGAAATGTTAAAATATTTAGAATATTTATATTTTTCCTTTTCTTTGACAAGGCGATATTTCATAGTTGATGCACCAATGTTAAGTGGTTGTGACAAAACCATATGAAGTTTTCGTCTAAATATTGATCTTGCGAGGGGAAGACATTTTAGGCCCTTAGATGAGGTCCTATCTCTTAACAGTTGGATCAAACTAATCAATTTGATCTAACGACTATCTAATTTGATCCAACAATTAAGAAATAAGATCACCTAAAGATCTTAGACAAGACCCTCACTATAGAATTCTACAAGAGGGACCACATCCTAAACGACAATAAAAAATCACATATTTAGGCTGAGAAGCCCATAGCCCACAACAAGAAAAATTAGCCCAAATTGTACAAATTTGGGTTGAGCGGCCCAAACAACTTAGGCGTATAAATAATAATATTTTATTATTATCTTCACAATGTCCCATAAAGCCAGGCAAGCATGGGCTAAGTAAGAAGTTGGCAAGAATTATAATTATAAATGGTAGAACTATTCTCTTTTGGTATGCTTGGGTCTAGTTTTTATTTAAATTATAAAATAAAAATAAAGAAGAAGAAAAAGGTGATGATGACGATGAAGATGCATTTTCACACAGAATGTTACAAGTGTATCCTCATTTTGATAAGATGTATTATATGTTGGATTCTACGTATGTCTTTAAACGGTTCTTTTTTCTCTTTTCTGCTTCCACCCTTACACAACTAAATATTGTTCAGGAAAAAAAAAATGGAGGAAGAAAATTAGTGTTGAAGCATAAAACTTCGTATGTGACCCCAAACAAAAATATGGGTTGGTCTTTGTTTGTGGAGAGAACATGATATAATTGCTTTTCTTCTCTGTACATATTCCAAATGTGATGTTCTCTGTACATAATTGCTTTTCTTCTCTTTGCAGCTTGAGAGAAATAAAAATCCTGGTGCAAAATATGTAAAGCTGGAAAAAATCTCCTGTGCCTCTCTCTCTCTCTCTAGCCATACAAATGACTTGCCTACTAACATTTCTGGTTTAAGCATCTGCAGCTATATAATGCTGTTTTCTGTTCCTTGTATCCTTCTCCATGATCTTAACATGAAAACCATTTGGAAATTGTAAACCCGGAGTTCGAACTATATCTCCTCCTTTGATTGCTTCCCACCTGAAAAATTTTGGATGCAAAAAAATGTTATTAGTCGTCTCTCTCTCTCTCTGTCTCCTTGCCTCTCTCTTTCCTATTCTCTCTCTTTGATTTCTGGGCTTTCTTACCTGTACTTTGTAACTAAGCAATGAAGAAACACAGCCATCTGCACCTTAGTAAAATCTGTCCCAACACAGAATCTCATGCCACCACCAAAAGCCATGAAATGTTTTGATGCACTACTTACTTCTACTCCCTGCATTGGAAGTTACTTTTTAGTACAAACGACTGAGGTGTAAGGACAAAGGGTTAGGAGATTTTCAAGCCAAGATCAATTAGTTTTATGGAACTTAGCAGCTTGCAGGTAAGCTAGAAAAATGCATTGTCTGATATAATATTGAAACTCACCTCCCATCTCCATGGATTGAAGGCCAAAGGGTCTTCATATTTTGCTGGGTTTAAATGTACTGCTGGGGGACAAACCATTACTGCCCAACCTGCTGGAATGGTATATCCTGCACAACAAAATTGGCATGACAAGTCCAATTAGGATGATGTTCATAGTTGAAACTTATTTTATAGTTGAAAACAATACTATGTGTCATTTCTACTTACCCTTAAAGTTTATTTCTCTCACTGCTTTGCGAAAGATACCGGGAACTATATTTGCCAGCCTAACCGTTTCGTTGATGAACTGCAAGTCAAAATTTATCAGTTTTTTAATTTGTTCAACAGAGGTATGAACAGATTTTCTTTTTTTTTTTTTTTTTTTTTTGTTTTTTTTTTAAGATTGTAAAGAGTGAGACTCACCTGAAATGTGAATGTCATTGACTTGTATTCTTTCCATGTAAGTCCAGAATCAGCAATTTCCCTTTGCTTTATAATCATCTCATGCTCTTCCTGACATAAGATGTAAATGTTAAGAACTTGTTAGGAGGGGTGACAATGAGGATGTTGAAATCTATAGCATGGTTAGAAATGTTTTCGTACCGTTAATTGCTTTAGCACAAGAGGATGGTCTGAAAGAAACTTCATGGCTAATGTTATAGCTAGGGAAGTTGTTTCGAAGCTTGCAAAAAGCAGCACAAACATTAAGTCCAAAGCAATTCCCTCTGTCAGGATTGTTCCCTCTTTCTTAAGTTCTTCAAGAACATAATCAAAAAAATCAACCGGTTGCTTCCGGGACTCTGCTCGTCTTTCCTGCAGCATGTTCTTCAGCATTCTCATTGCGTTTTTCCTACCCTGAGAAATTGTTGAAGGTCAAGAACAAGAGAACATACTTGATTGTTTTCAAAATGGAACTTTTGACTTTGATTGGCCTTATGAAAGCAAGAAACAAGTGTTGTGAATGATACTTATGCAATTACCTGTAAACATTTGTGATAAGCTGTTCCAGGGATGTCCAAAGGAAAGGAGATCAATCCTTGTATGAATGCAACAAAGTTTTCCCTTAAATTCTCCGAGGACTTATTTGAATCATAACTGATAAGTTTTTTGGCAGTGAGATCAAATATCATCTGCAAAGACCAAATTAATCAGACTTCAAACAAGATATTAACTTCTAGTGAAATTTTATCAAAGATAAGAAAGGTTAGGCTGAAAATTACACTTGCAGTTGCATCTTTTAGTTCTGTAATGTCCTGACATGACCATTGTTGTAATCTGCTGAGAGCTGCTTGTTCAACTTCAGGGATCATCTTTTTAAGGCTTTCGGGTCCAAAGAGATGCAGCACCATGTTCTTGAGATATTTGTACATAATCCCATGCAAGGAACCGACATTTTGCTTGCCAAAAATCTCTGTGAAGGTATCTGGGTACCAACTTTGAAACAATTTTCCCTCTTGTTGGAAGACAAAGTAACTGAGATCCGGGTCTGTCGATATTATAACTGGTCTTCCCACCAAATTAGTCCTGAAAATTGGTCCATATCTGCAAAGTCCAAAATGCAGAACACATGTAAAGAAGATGAGAAAACAAGAACCAAGAAGAAGAATTAGAAGATGGCAAGGAAGAAGCAGCTGTTTAATTATCAGAAATATCACCTTTTCATTCTTTTTTTGATGAAGGGAGGAATATCAGAAGAGGTGTTGGGAGTGAAGAACTGTAAGGTCTCTCCAAGTAGTGGCAATCCCATTGAACCTGGTGGAAGTTTTCCATGGCACCTAGGATTTCCCCACCTATAAACCCAATGCGTAATGCTTATAATAAGCAATGCTGCAAGGCACAAAGCCCACATATTTGCCAAACTATCAGCACTTCAACTTCCAAGAGGAGATTAGCTGAACTGAAGATCACAACAGATATATATATATATATATATAAATATGCTGCACTTAGATTTTTGACAGAAAAAGAAAACAAGGGACAGCTTGTGATTACGTGAAATGAGAAGATGTTGAGTGGAAAGAATGGACAGAGAGGAGAAGGAAGTGCTGGCATGTATCTGAGCATCCATTAGGAGATCTTCTTAAATAGACTGGCCAAAACTTACAACTTGTCAGAATAATAATAATAAATTTAAGCTATTCTCTTTGTTTTGTGAAGTTGGTTGCTGCAAAATGATATATTAGTTGGAGATAGAATAAATTATTTTAGATTAATTCTGTCTAGAGGGACACTTATTACCCTTTGTCAACGCCCTCTATAAAATTGGATTGAAGAAAGAGCCTTGCATGACTATGAACCTCACAGGATGCTTCCTCTCTCTCTCTCTCTCTCTCTCTCTCTCTCTCTTGCTGAATGAGTTGTGGTTTTTGATAGGGCAGAATTCTGGCCTTTTTTAAGGAGATTTTGCAGGAACAGGACACTTCCCTAGATTTTTGAGTAGATAGAGGTTCACAGTATATGCCTAACTATAAGCTTAAGCATCTGAAACCAACTTCATGTTGGAAATGTCAAAACCTTATTGGGTCTTACCAGCATCTGAAATCTTATCAATATCTAGGCTAAATACCAGAGTATCTATGTATGATGTTGCAGTTTCAGTTTCATTTTCTTTGTTTCTTTGTTTGTTAGAATAAGATCTTTTCCTAGATATTTGCCTTAGTCTAATACTAGAAATGTCAAACTCTCAATCTTAATGCCTACATCAATAGTGATCTCAAATGGACTGAATCTTAATGCCTACATCAATTCTGATCTCAAATAGAGTGTCCTATATGTTAATGCAACTACCATTTATGCTTTCGATTATTCTTTTGTATGAAATTCGTATCATAATCCTTTTCTAACTTGATGACTTTGTGTTATGTTCAAAGTGCAGCAGATATTGGGTTTGACTAAGTCTCTGTTAAATGTTCAGCAGATTTTGGGTTTGACTAATATTGTGCTACGTTCGGTAAGTCTTAGGTTCGACTCACATCCAATCGATGGTAAACAACCATGAATTCATAATGAGAATTTTTAAGAGTAGGTGTGCTAAGCTAGCTGATGAGATTGACCCATTTGGACACATAGAGCACCGCCCCATTGAGCCACGGACTAAATGGGATGCAACAACTACAACCACAAATGCAGGTGTAGGTCACTGTGGATCATGATCACAATTATATGCAAATTACATTATAAAATATATGTTAGTCCAATATGTCACCATAGTATAGGAGGGAAATTTCACATGTAAGTACATCAATTAATGGATCTTATTAGGCTATGCTTAGGGCTAGAAAACATAAGCATGGAGATCCTCCAACCTTGTCTCCAGGTTTTCTTGTTTTTCTTTTGACTGGGTAAACACATTAATCAACCATCTCTCAACCCATCTGCTGACAACATTTCAGATTTGCAGACCATACAAGATAGCATGACACAGATTACTCAACTACTTAGCACGGGCTTGTATGAAAGGGCTTTCTAGCCATGAGTTCAAGATTTATGTTATCTTAGATTTTTTATATATATTATTTTATAATACAAGCGATATTCTAAACTATAAAGATGAGTGGGATTTCTCACACGTACACTTCCAAGATGTCATGAGATTTTGAACATGAGATCACTAGTATGTAAGTCAATGATTTTTTCCACTAAATTATATCTCGTTGGTATATTATCTTAGATTTTTAAGTTAAAAAATGTCAACTTAAAAACTTTAGAAAATTACGAATATTTTTCACTGCACTTGAGGTTCTGTGTTGGATTCATTGATCGCAATATCACTTCTCTTAAAAAACTAAAGGGTTTTCAATTTGTTGTTTTGTTTAACATGGAAAATGATCTCATGTTTGGTGGGAGGACTTGGGTGTTTTGGGGTCCTACCCGTCTTGATTCTACAACGGCAAGGATGTGCTGGTGGGAACCCAATCCAAAGGGTCCGCATCCAGAGATCTCTTATGTTTAGTTTCAATTATCTCTATTGACCTCACCGCCCGCCCTCATTTTGTCTACGAATTGAACGGTGTAAGATGATCCATATGGTTTGTTTATAATTACAGGGTGGCACACTGGCTCTAAACCTGTAGGTCTGTGTGGTGTGAGTGGACATCAAGCTTTTTCTTTTGGTCTTCTTTGGGGTTAATTGGAAGAAACAATCAAGAATGGTCAAACAAATATACAAGCATCTCTAGCTTAAACTCTAGAAAACGTCACAATATATTCATGAACTTAAATCTGATTCGCCAAATTTAAGTATTAGTGTTCTCTTATGCTATTGGTAGACATGTAACTAAAATTACTCAATATATAGAATCATATCTGAATGTCTTATTTGGATCGATGTTGTGACAACATAACAAATTCAGACAATTTCGATATTATTCTAAATTTAAATATCTCTTCAAAGATCGAGAATTGCCAATTCCACGTAGTATGATATCTTCCACTATCAAATTATTAATCTGAATCGTTAATCAAGTGAATTCTTATTTTAGTGTATAATTTTAATATTAAGAGTCTAACAATATAATCTTACTCTCTCAAAGGCCAAAAAGAGTTTAAAGAGCAAAATTATTTGTTACTTGATGTTTGGGTTTTGAGTTACTCGAGAAGGAGAGGATTGAGGAGAAAGTTGTTGTTTTTGTCTCTACCGTGCGCATTGGGAATGCATTATGAAGCAACAACAAAGAATAGTAGGAGTCAAAATTATGAAACTGCCTTTTTACCCCAAATTGTATGAGAAAATAAAATAATGGATTAAAAGCCAAGCCTAGCTATCATATTCTTCCATAAATTAAGTTTTTTATGAAAATCATGTAAGAATTTGAATCTATATAACTTGATGCGCCACATTCAGATGTTATATATTTATGTTTTGTGTAATTGTTCAATCATATCCAAGAGATTAAACAAAAGTCGTAGTTGATTATTCAACCAGAAAGTATATATATTCAACCAAACGAGCCAAACATCACCAAGTATTGCAAGTCTCTATTTTTAATTCTAGCTTATGTTAACATGCTACAAGCATAAAATCATGTCTTGTTGTCAACTATATCTGATTAACAACAAAGTGGTATATATTTGTACGTCTTAAAAAATAGTAGGGTTATTTGTAGCAATGGTCTTTCAACTATACTCGAAGTTACATTTTGGTCACTTAACTCAAATATTAGTTGCAGAGGTCACTCAATTGGGTGTTGTGTTGCACTATTAGTCCCTACTGTCAAGTCTCTCTAATGGTAGGGACTAATGGTGCAACACAACACCTAATTGAGTGACCCATATAACTATTTTTTGAAGTTGAGTAACCAAAATGTAACTTCGAGTATAGTTGAGGGATCATTGCTACAAAGAATCCTAATTGAAAAGTCACATTTGTCCATCAATAATTTAAAAGATGCTTGTCACGTCATCATTTTAAACATAAAAAGTCACAAACTTGACGGTAGGGACTAATGGTGCAACATAACACCCAATTGAATGACCTCTGCAACTAATATTTCAGTTAAGTGACCAAAATGTAACTTCGAGTATAATTGAGGGACCATTACTACAAATAACCCAAAATGGTATTATTAAGCAATAAATTTGGAGCCCGTTTGGAAATACTTCTGTAAGGAGCACTTCTTCCCATTAGTGCTTTTGCATTAAGGAGCCCTTTTAGTTGAAGTTTGTTGAAATATTTATTAAATATTCAAGTGCTTCTTAAAAACAACTTGGAAGTGCTTCTTGATCTTGAAAAAGCACATGTTAGGTGCTTCTCCAGAAAGCACTTTTATGACTTAGAAGCATTTTAAAGTTTCTATTTACCCAACTTTGTTAGAAATCGCTTTAATCCATCTGGAAGCAGTCCCAAACAGGACTGATACATATGTGTGTTAACTATGATTCGATGACATGTAATTAAGCCATAAAACCAGTTAGATTTTGTGCCTCTATGATTCACACCGATTTGTGCTCTCAAGTTGCCATGTACACCAGCACGTGTCATGTGTTAATTATGATTTGATGACATGTAATTAAGCAAGAAACCCAGTTGGATTACAATTCAATTAATTGTCAGAAGAGCTAATTAACTAAGAATAAAATGATGAGATTGAAGGGATCTGATGATAGCTTCTTTGCTTGGTAAGTGAGGATTAATGCATATATGCATGCACGTGTATACACATGGCTAGCGAATGATCGTATCGCGTACATGCGTGTGTACATTAATTATTATAAACTACGTGAAAATTCCTTAATCATGTATTAATAAATAATCTGGCGTTAATCGATGACAGCTTTCCATTAATTTTTGCATATTAACCAATAATCAGGAGATTATAAAACACCAAGTGCTCTATGGGTCTACTGCTCCCATATAACGGGAGTGGAGTAATCAGACAATTAATCTAATCCATGTGTTTAGATATTTAATCAATAAGAACCCCACCTTGACCATACAATATCACTCGATAATTGTGATGTTCTACAGTATTCTCAGTCTCAGAAGCTCAGCATAGCTTAAAGTGTAAGTCTCTTTTCTCACACGCACACACAAACATGTATAACGCCTCATTACATTGTAGTCCCCGTAATTTGTCCAATTTTCCACTCGAGGATGTATAGTTTCAATTTTCTCAATGGAAAATACTTGCTTCCTTCCTCTCGAAGTAGGAGTTCATACTTTCCTACTAATCACAAGTTGACATATGTGTATAGATTTTTCTTTTGATGTTTTTAATGAATTATTTTTGCATATGTATTAAACTATAATTTGCAAGAAGTAGGAATGCCTCATTTCTTATATATACCAAGCACAATCTCTTGACTCAAATATGTGACTAAAAGTCTTTTTAGTCACCAAAAAAGTAAAAAAAGGTGACTAATGCATTTTGTCACAGTCACAAATGTCACCAAATAATGGTGACTGTTGCCACTTGTTTTTAACAGTGAAAGCAAACATCGCCTCAAATAACTTTCATTTCACTCTACTGGTCTTAGTTAATTTAAAATTTAATGAAGGTGATGAGCTAAGCAAGCTGAATATAAATAATCATCATTTATGATTTGATCTATCAAAATTCAAGGGCCTAAGAAACATGACCAGCTCGTAGGGTTTGAAAATATACAAGATTTTGCCTTGTGAAACAATCCAATTTCCATTCGTTGGTCGCTATTGGCTTTTAGTGGTTCAAGTTCATGCATTCAACGGTTTCTTGATTCAGCTACAATGAAGGGCACATGTTCCTTGAGACGGGATATATGATCAGATAGAGTTAGCTTTTGCTTAACCCTGACCTTTTAGCATATTATATATATTTGCAATTAAGGGACTATGTGGACCAAATTCAACCCACATAGTAAGCTCATGGTATTTTGAATCATATATTTAACTCGATCGATGGTCTAAATCCATAGTCAGTTATTGAGTTGTTAATCAATCTTACAGGAGAATATGTTCGGATATATAATTCGAAATGATTAAATGTGAAACATTCAATAGAGTGAAAAACTTTTGTGGGGTTATTCATGCTTTGCAATTCAGGGTGGCAGAACAGTGTAATTAACAAATAGCATTTGTTTAAATTTGATAATAAGTCTTTAATTTTTTAAAACATGTTAATTTTGAACTATACTTGTTCCGTGACCCTCACGCATACTCTGCTCTTTCACTATGGTCCCATTTCCAAGTTGTCAAAGCCGACAATTTGTGTGTTCTACAACATGGACCAAAACCCATGATTGAACAATATCATTACTCTATAAGAAAGACTTCAGAAATTCCTTTAGAAAAACAAATGGGCCCCCAAAATCATATAAGCACATGCTATTTTGCACGTTGAGCTAAGATTGTCACACCATGAATGCCCATTTATTATTGAGAATAGGATGGAAAAAATAGTTATTTTCCTTTTTATTATCTTCCCCATTCATAACACTTGAATTATTGGCATCTCTTATTTTTTGGTGCCATCTTAATATTATTTGTTTTGGTCGGAACTTGGAGTGTATCTTAATACTTTATACAAAAAGTGTATTTCTAGAAAATGAAATGAGCTGTTAGCGGGGTATAGTTTAGTTAGTTGAGCTCTTTCACTTCCACTTTTATAGGCAGATGTTCAAAACCCCTAGGCACCTGATGAATATTTGTATAAACCCCCTTCCCCAATCGCTTATACTAAAAAAAACTAAAATGGGCTTGGACCCATCTTTTTCAAATGTGATGGCCCACTAACCATGTCAAAGAGTTGACCTCTTTTGAGGATTAAGACTAACTGATTATGGAAAAGTTTACTATTTGAGTAATGCAACACTTTCCACATTTTTATCTCACATTTCTATATCATATGATGTGATATGTCTATATCATATGCCAAATAAATTAAATTAATGAAGTATATTTTAATAAATAAATAAAAAGTATTAATTAGCTGATGTGGTGTGTACACATCAGCTGCTATATCATATGGTATATAAATTGTGGTATACAAATATGGTAAGACTAGGATTCATGATGTCAGCAGTGATGAATTAGAGCCCTCCTCTTTTGGCGGCTAAATTTTGGAAATTTGTCAGCCAACAATCCAACATATGCATAGAATTTGATTTGTTTCTTCCATTCTCCCATGGATGATATAATTGACAATGACTGGCACCCATGTGGCCATTTATGCCATGCACTTGACGACCCATCTTCAATAGAAAGAAAGAAAACCTAGGATTTATGATGGCCTGGGCTCGGGAAAATCTCCTGCTTCATTTTATTGAGATTTTGTTCTTCACAGCCCGCCAACAAAGTATCATGGAGAAAGAAATAAAGAAGAGACTATTAGGCAAAGACACAAAGGCAATCTCAGTCTCTTTCAGCTAGGATTCTTTCTTCCAAAATTGTCATTTAATACCAGAGAAGATAAATTTTGAATGTGACCGTAACACCGCGGTTGAACAAAAGAATAAACCAACTAAAAGACTGAAAATGAACAGAGTGAAGTAAGCCGCATGCTGTTACCCTAATCAAACAGCAACATTAGAATGTTTTTACAGTGAAATTCAAGTGGCATAAACATGTTAGTGGAAACTGCTGTCCTTTTAAGTCAGTTTGGTCCTGGCCGTAACAATATGTTGAAGAACCGCGACTGCAAACTCAACCATGTTCAGAAACTGGACGTGTTGAACACAACACGATGACTCAATTACTACCCTTAATCATTTTTTCACAACTTGAAATCTATGTATAAGAGAAAGAAGACAATAATCTCTGTGTGTACGCGTCAGGAGTAAGGTAAAAAAATGTGTGAATATTGTATCCGATTGTACAAATCCTCCCCGTTAACAAAAAAAACCCACCTTAAACTAAAATGGAAAAGAAGATATAGAGACCCCCCGTATAGATATGCTTATGAAAACATGTGTTCCAAAAGAAGTGATGATCTTCTAATCCCTGATAACACAGCCTTGAACTCTTGCACGCAAGCAGTTAAAAGAAGAATCGCTGCTGAGCGCTGATGCTATTCTTGGTGATGCAAGGAGTATACTGAGAAGCTGAATGATCAGAGACAAACTTCATTTCTAAAAACTGATTACGATTTTCCATTTTGAAGCTTTGCATTGGTTAACTTTTTTAGCTTCCGGTCATGATTGAGCATTGCACTTACACTTTCAACCACCAGAACCATCTGCATGGTCCAGAGCACACATTAGTGGAGAGAGATACGTTTACCATAAATTAACAGATTCATTGAGTTGCGAATCAGCCATTGGTTGATCAGGCTAACAAGACTAAGTCACATCAGGGTCAAAGTGGATATAGCGGGGGTGATGACTTTCTGTCATGGTTTTATTTCACAGAAATCATCCTGTGAATCAACTATATAATAAGGAAGCTACATTTTTTCTCCCTTTGAAACTCTTATATGAATCATTTGATGCAAAGAAATAACTGATAAAAGTTCACACACCTGCAAACAAGCATAAGTAATTGCAGTAGCGAAGTAGAAATTTGCATTGCCAGTGCCCTGCAAGTTTGAAAGTCCTTAATTATAAGAAACACTTATAACCATTTTAAAGTTCAGAACAACTGTAGAGAGAGCCATACCCTCCATATCCATAGGTTGTGCATCACAGGGCTAAGGAGGGAAACCCCAACATAAACACTGAAGAGGCAGAATGAGAATTGCATTTCTGCATATCATAAAAATTTAATGTTTAAGATGCCAAACCATGTCAAATGCATAAAGGGAACAGAAAGAGAACCAACTGACTTGCCTGACAGTTCATTAACAAACCAGCCCAACAAACCAAAGTACAGAGCTGAATCCCCAACCTAAACAAAATTGTAATACAATGGAAGAACAAAAAAATCAGGCTGCCTATCGCATAACTTCAGAAACATGCATCGAAGACTTTAGCTGCAGCACCAGAAAACATAGAAAACTTCTGAAGAAAAACGAGAACTTACAGAAGGATAAGACTTAAGCATTGATGAGATGGTGATGTAGACAAAAGCAAGAAAGCAGGGACGGTGCTTCAGCCGTATGGCCAATGGAAATATCATAAAGAGAATATTCATATGGAAAACAATCAGGAAGAAATTTCTGAAAAAATCGAAGACCTCTGCAAAGAAATACCTGCATCAAAATATTAAATGAGTGATCAAATTCATGCCACGCCTCAAAAGTAAAATTTAACCACTCCACAATCCACTTTCAGTACAGGTAATTTGGGGCTCACCATAAGACACCTATATTCGGAGACAAATCTTGCACGGTAAGAATGAAACCATACATTCTGCAAAAACCAGCCACAATGTTTAGCAACAATTTAGACTACTGATTTAACAATAAGATCACAATTACTAGGAGCAACCCTTCGCACTAGAGGAAGTACAACAATTAATGCTAATACCCATTTGGTTACTCTGTGAGCCATTCACCTAATTATAGGCTACAAGTGCTCTGAATCAATTATACTAGCACCGACCATAGTGAACACCAGGACATCCTGTGCAGAGCTCTAGTCTATATGCAGCTGATCTTGGCCGCATACTAATTTGACCAAACTATTCAGGAAAATTGGATTAGCTTTGAAAACTGTGCTATCTCTATTTTGTTTTCTTCTCAGTTTATTTTCATATGGAATTCTATTGACTCAGTGTTTACTTATTCCAACTTTCACATGTGGACTGGATGACCTTTAAGAACTGTACAACAACTTCTTAAATAGAACTGAAATTTTTTAGTGATATCTTAATAAACCACATAAGAACTTTGATAAGTCGTAATGCTTGATCAGTCCACTCTGTTACTAGGCCTAAGAAATGAGAACTCTCCTTTTCAACAGATTTTTTTATATATCTTATTTTGCAAAAACATCTAGAATATTTGAGCATAAGGAAATGCACGCATGTACAATGAGCTGTTGATACCTTTCAAACATCTCCCAGAGACCACCATACTGTTTAACAGATATGCCACAAAGGAGTAACACATAGACTGACCACATAATAGCCCACAATAAGAAAAGCATGGCAGGTCTCCAAGCGAAAACTTTGGGTAGGTCTGATTGATTAATAACTTTCTCCTGTTGTTGACAACTATCACTTGACGAGTTATCTTCAACTTTACCATATCTCCTCATCAGCAACAATTTCCTAGGAGTATCTGGACCATATCCTAATAAAAGAATTATCTGGAACAAGATTAAATATTTGTCAATATGCATGAGTGAGAAAGAAAACACACAAAATAGATTTCAAATGTTGCATGAAAATTCTTTTTATTTTTTTGATAAGAAACATAATTTCATTGAAGAATTGCACAAATTTTTTTTTTATAATTACATCAAACATGATAAGTCAATGAAAATAGGGGCATACTGGAATTATGAGAATCATAGGATAAAGAGACAGATGTGTTGCCATGACCCATCCAAAAGCAGCCAAGGGAACCATTCCTACAGTTCATCAGAAGAACAATATCAGAAAGGAAGTTAAAGTTAAAAAGAAGAGCATAAGCCAAAAAAAGTTCCCCACGTGCCTTCATCCATCCCTAAATCAAATGCTAATATCTCACTTCAAAACATACTGATTATGGACAAACAAATATCGTCAAATGGAATTAGAAAGAATGTCTTCCTTATTCTACCATGAAATGGAGTGCTGATGTCATGTGAATGAACTTGCATGGTATTATTACCACTTAAGTAGGGACGTCCAGTGATACTGCTAAAACTATAATTAAAATGAAAATTTAAACATCCAAAACTTGTTAGTTTCTGTAATAGATTATAATCTGTCACAACTCACAACAATATACAGGCAAGGACTTAGATGGAGAATGTCTATCACATGAGTGCCAACCAGAAACCAGGAATCTTGTAACCCAAGTGGAGTGTATTATATGATCCTTTTAAGGAAGTAATCATTCTCATGAACAAAATGACAAAAACAAGTTTCGAAAGAAGAATACTTAAAAGAGTCTTAAAAAACCTAAAAGAAACATTTACATTGCCAAATCACAAGGACTGTAGTTAACTTACGTTTACATGCTCCATAGAGGGCCAATATGATGGCCAGATTTTCAATTGGAGATGTTGACAAACCCACACATGCAACTATTGTAAAAGGATTCCACAGGTACACAAGAGCAGCAATATCTCCTGAAGAGAGGACCTCTGAAAACAACAAATATAAGCCATGCATCAGCCTGTGAATGGCATGCGGAAGGCAAAGCTTTGCATTTTAATGTAATTGCACAAATGATGCACATAAATGAGATCAAAAGTTAAGCTTTTCAACAAAGTGGCATATGCCCATAACTATAAGTCAATTATAATGATTTCATATAGCTATTCAGGCAAGGCCAGTCTGTTAACATTCCAAATTTTAGATCTATCAAAATTGTGTCTCAACAAGACAACCAGCTATACTAGCTGCATCTATCGATACCTAGTTGCTTTGTTGCATAACAATTTAGACTTCATTAGGGGAATTCATACAATCAAATATGACTATCCATAAACAGGACTAAAGAGAAGTATATTGATCTTTAAATGTTAGAATTACCCATTCTTTCTGATATCGTATCAAGATCTAGTGATTTCAAACTCTGCCTATATGCAACCTGAAGAGTCTGACCAGTAGCACGAATAAGCATTGCATTCAATATATCTGCAACCACAAAAACCAAACTGTACCCAAGAATGTGTCGATATCAACTGCCTGACTACATATTCGGAATAAGTCAACCAATGAAAGAAGAAAATTAAGGGAATTCTAAATTATTGGAACATGAAATATGACAAACTTACACAAAATAAAGATGAACTTATTGAAAGGCATTACTGAGCTACAGAGAGAGAACTAAGAAAATGGTAAAAGACAATTCTTACCTGCATAGAAGATGACTGGGTTGCCCTTCAATTCTGCAGCACCAATTAAAATGTTCAGCAAATTACCAACTGAAAAAGGAAAAAACAAAATCCAGCACCAGATTTTAACATTTCCTTAATTGGGGCATTCATTGAACCAATGTTTTTCTAAAAAAAAAAAAAAAAAAAAAAAAAAAAAAAAAAAAGGATTTTATCAAAAGGAAGAAGAATTTGAAACTGGAATTTACACTGGTTGGGCCTTCCAATTCCAAAACTTAGAGTCTTAGAACAACTAACGAAACCAAACATGGCTCAAAATAAATCACATAGATGATGATGCTAATGGGAACAAAACTTAAAAAGGAAAAAGCTTAAGCTGAAGCGGTACCTTTTGACTGTGAGTGGCCCAAGAAGTGAGAGTAACAAAGGAGATCCGTGGTACATAGATCCTGCAAAACCAGTAAAGAACAAAAAAATTACAATCTTTGAAAAATTAAACATGAATTATATAAGAAGATAGACAACCAGCAATGAGAAACCTGCATAGGGAGACATTGACGACTGCTTCAACCAGTAACCCTCAGCCACTGAAAAAAAAAGAAACAACAATTGAATTGAAAGAGATAGAAGCCGAAACTTGAGAAGGTATGGTTCTGAGCAAGCTTGAGAGAGAAAGAGATAGAGAGAGAAATTACGGCGACGGAGGCTGGTGAGAGGGGTGGAGACTTCGGGGCGAGAAGAGAGGTTGAGATTTTTGGGGAAGTAGATGAGAATGAGCCTGAACAACACTGATGCTGCAACCCATGTCCAGAACCTTCCCTGCTTCTGCTTCTTCCTCTTCGTGCTCTGCTCCTCCTTCACCTCCATTTTTCTTACAGCCTTGCTCTGTGTTTTTAGGAGCGTGATCACTGGGAGAGAGGGAGACGAGTTTGTAAGGCCTAAACGGCTTCGTTTCTGTTGTGTGTATTGGAGGGGTGCAAGTCCGGTCGGGTCAACTTGATATGCCCAAACCCAACCCAACCCAACCCGTTGTGGTGTTAACCCAAATGGGCCGTTTGAATTAGGATTAGGTCTTGCCCGCCAGAATTAACCCGAATCCGAACTCATGTACCTTTTTTAAAGTAATCAAACAAAATCTAGCAAAATATGTCGTACAGGCTTTCAGCCCAACCCGATCAAAAAATTTAGGGTCACTCAAGCTTAACACAAATTTAGTATGGGATGAGATGTAATTAGACTCTTCGTAATATTTTGGTGTGGGACTTCAAACACGGCACGAGGTGGCGACACATGTCTGTAAATAGTTCAATTATTTGCTTGAACAAAAAGGGGGCCTCATGGGCAATCGGCATGAATGTCTTTCGGCTGGGGACAGGAGGTGAGGGGCTACGCATGCCTCGCCGAGTGTCGTTTGATGGGATGGCCATGGGGTCTATTTGCTGTGGTTTGTTCGGCATATGAGGTTTCCGCCATTTCTAAAGTAGAAAATCCATTTTAGCATGAAATGCAATTTACCCTTGAAAATTATGTTAAACGAGTTTTTTTTTTCTTTATTTTGCTGAAATATGAATAACTCTATCAAATCCCAAATTTATTTATTTACTTTTTGCGTATATATACAATATATGTGAATGCGCAACATATTTACACAATTAACTAGTGGAATTGATTTGCGGCCCTTCTAATTTCATTGGACACGTGAGTTCCTCCAAGTCCCATATTTCTTTTTATATAGTGCTTTCATGTTAGTATAAGAGTCTCAATTTTAGTTTCGTATTACGTATAATTTAGTTTGTTTAGTGTTGTACCAAGAAACATGAAGAAGGCAGAAACGGGAGAAATGCAGCAGTGAGTTTGAAAAGCTGAAGTCGCCGCAGTGTTTGGGGTTGTTAGACATGTGACCATCGTTATCATTTGTGTGTCCACTTTTAATACCATTTCTTTTGTTTTGTTTTGTTTTCTTCTTGGTGAGAAATAACAAAATATAAACAAAGGTTGGAATGGAATCCCAATCATTTGAACATAAAAATTCCGCAATATACCGAATATTTATTCATAACTAAGTTTCCACAAAAAAAGGAAGACAAATTAATTGAATATTTCTAAAGAAACATAAAGGGGAAAAAAAGCCAAGAATAATACTTTCTTTTTGTTACATTGGAAAGGGATCAAACATCAAAGTGCTGACTTATTTTAATACAATTCCTTTCGTATTAAACCCTTAATATTTCACTATGCATAAAAATAAAAATAAAAATAAAAAACTTGAAAGGATAAAATGCACAAAGGATTATAACTCTAATGATAAAATGCTTAGGGTTGGTGATGATAACTAATCAAACTTTATGCAATTTTTTATTATTAATGATGTGGTTGGTTAGTGTTTATGAATAATTTATGCTCGTGTCAATATATTTTCTTTTGTTGTGTATACTTATTTATAGAGAATTTTTAGTGGACATGAACTCTTATTTCCTTTTTGCTTTTTAGTAATTTGTATTTTTATATACTATTATTTTACGTATTTGTGCCCTTAAAACGAAATAATTGTGTTCTCAATTTTTTATATATTATTAAATGAGGACAATTTTGAATTATTTGAAAATTTAACCATAATAGCCTTTTGTGTTTATCCCAAAAGAAAATGTGTTTATTATGAGTTATAAAAGTACTTTTTAGTGTTCTATAGAAAGCATGGTTTTCCAAATAACTTCCTTTGTTTCACAATTTATTAAGTTTTTTTTAGTACAAGTGATAGTTTAAATTACAGGAGATGAGTGTTTTTCACACACACACACAACCAAGATACCATGAGGTTCGAACATGAGGTCTTTAGTTTGTAAATTAAGGTCATTTTCCAATGAGGTAGACCCTATTGGCCACAACTTATTAAGTTTTTAGTGAAAAATTCGACATGCTTGTAATAAAAATGTTTATATAAGGCCCTAACCCTCATCAAAATAAATTTTTGTTCTTTTTCAAAACTCCACATGCCATTGAACCAAAAAAAAGAAAAAAAAACTCATGGCTTGTATGTAAATCTCTCTACTAAACCGCACTTGATGTTAATGACGTTCTTCCTTTAGAGCTGCTTAGACAGCAAGTCATCCATTTGTGCTTGTGTGATGTGTCTTTGATGCTTTACCCTACATACAGGAGAGACGTGGAAGAATGGAAAAGAAAATACCCAAAAGCAAATTCACCATTAATTTTTTTTTTAATCCAAAAAACCGACTTCCAAACACGCCCTTACTCCTCCCTCTATATATATGAGCGCTAACATTCAGCCTGTATTTTCCACACATAAATATCTGTTACTAATTTACTTCCATCTCTCTGAACAAAAATTAAATTCATAAAACCCAACATAAACACTGAAAATCGGAGCTCAAGAATTGTTGAAGTTCTGCAGCAATTTCCATGGCGAGGCCAAATCAGGAAGCAATCGACACCTTTATCAGCATCACCGGCGCTTCCGAAGCCGTCGCCGTGCAAAAGCTTGAGGTAACTCTTAATGTCCTGAATTCAATTCTGAGGTTGTAATCAGAATCGCCGATTCAATTCTCCGTTTTAAGGTGTTAAATAGCGTAATGTTGCTGTTAGGTTTTTTATTGCATTTGGGTAATGGATTTTAATTGGGAATTTTAGTTGAAGAGTATTTGGATTGATTTTATTGAGAATTTTGAAATTTAAATATGGGATTTAGTTTGTTAGGATGGTATTGTTTGCTTCAGTGTATTGGTATATTTAGATGAAGGGAGAATTTGCTTCGGTTGCTATTTGATGGTATTAGTCGTCAACTGCTCTATGCTGTAGTTTATGTAAACTACAGTTAAATGGTGGGCTATAATTTTGGAAATTTAAAGTTAAAAGGGTGTTACTTGCACTACTCAAGCGTAATAAAAAAAATTGAAGAATTTTACAAGCGTTGTGATTGGATAGAGGAATAGATGGTTTTTTTTAGGACAATGAGATTACTGTTATACAGTTAAAGACTTATGCTTTTAGTATTCTCTTTGAACGGTTCAACAGTCGAGGTTGTTATATAGAGTTTGGAGAAGGGTTGGCTTGTACAATTGATTGATTGACCAAACAAAATAGAAGGGTTGTGAATGTACTGGTACCTGCAGAATTTTTGGGTGTTGAAAATTTGGTCAAGTGTATTTGGTTAGACCCACTAGTGAATAGAGTGGTAACTATTGAATGGTAAGCAATGAACAAGGTGTGCACTTCAGTTGGCCTTGTGGATATCTCTGCAACTAGTTGGAGTAGAAATTGCAGCAGGGTTAGCTTCTTTTGTACTTGATTGAGTCTAACCTTTCTGAAACCTTTGGAATATAATTTTCCCTATTAATATATCTAATTGTATCTAAAGTGCAACTAATTTTTCTGGAGTTGTGGCTGGATAAACCTGAATGCTTTGGGTTGAGCAAGAAAACTCACTTCAGCTCCATCTGATACAGGCTACAGCCTTCATATAGATTATGATTGATGCGTACCTAACTACTTTTACAAGTGAACTATTTAGATCCTTATTAGAGAAGTTTTGTGTTTTAGTTTCTTGGATTTTTGGGGATGCTCTTTCTTGTTTGACTATTAGAGGGTTAAGTCTAAAAAACAAATAGATAAATAAAAGAAAAAAGCTTTAGCATGTTGGCCAATTTATTGCTTCTTATAGATCTTCTTCCATTGTGTTTGCTTGCAATTAGGAGCATGGTGGCGATCTCAATGAAGCTGTGAATGCACATTTTACTGAAGGAGATAGAAACACATCAGTGAAGTATGCTTTTCATCTGCTGCTACTCATTCTTAACATATTTAGTATGATACATCATCAACTATTGGAACTTATCTCCGGCTTTAACATTGATATCATTTCATGTCCAGCGTGCATGAAACACCTGTTGCAGCCCAAGATGATTTGATGGATATTGATGATCCAGTTCCAGTTGGACCTCGGAGAGATCCTCTATCACTTCTATCTGCAACCCGTGATATAAATCCATTTTCTCTTCTTAATCCAAGCTTTGGTAGCAGCATATTTGAAAGTGGGTCAGATTTTAGAGAACGTGCACCATTTGTTACTCATCCAAGAGAGGTCAGGGAGATCCCCATAGAAGTCAAGGATGATGACAATCCATCCGGCCATTCTGGCCATGCTCCTACTATTGACGATGTCACTGGAACAGCGCATGCATATGGCCCAGGTATCCCTGGGACTGTTATAATTGATGATGAAGATGATGATGTTCCAGCTGCCCCAACTGTTCAGGCTGGACAAGGCAGTGGGCCACGAGATATTTCTTCAGGTGATGGATCTCATCACCGAAATTTTGGACCTAGTGCTCCTCGATTTGATGATCCACAGGATTATAGCAATGATATCGAAGAAGAAATGATTCGAGCTGCCATCGAGGCTTCAAAACGTGAAGTTGAAGAAAGCCAACAAAATCAACTATTTGCTGCACCAACTGTATGTGACAAGCCTACACTGTTGGGTTGGACCTCATGTTTGTTGTTTTCTAGTACTAAGATTGTCTTTGTATTAATTTCATCTTGATGCAGCAGTTTGATGATAACGAGCCTCAGCAAAGGCCACCTCACCTAGAGGATCCTGAACTTGCACATGCAGTTTCATTGTCATTGAAGGTTTGTTTTTTGTTTTTTGTTTGTTTTATTATTATTATTATTATTGGTATCCATAGTGTATCGTTTGACATGAACTGAGTCCAGACAGCAGAGCAAGAGAAAGCATTGCGTGGCCAGGGGGAAAATGTTGGCCCATCAGAGATGGGGGCTTCTAAGGCAGCTGAGGTGGAGCTGGGAAAATTAACGGCACCAAACGGAAGGTATATATCTTGTGTTGCTATTTAAGTGTTAAACACATCATTTCTGATGAGGGTGCTTTGAGTGAATCCAGGTTGGAAGGAGGAAGCTCATCCATCCAAGATGAAACTGAAGACGTGGAGGAGCAGCCTCTTGTCAGACATAGGTCCAGGCGAATGTCCTCTGGCTCTGTGGAGTCTGCCAAAGACGTTGGAGCTACAGAGGATAGCGCACCTTCAAGTCCTGGAGAGCAGGATATGGGTAATCATCCTAGGCACAGTGGAAGTGTCTTCCCTACTGATGAGGTATCTTTCTTTTTAAGTTATTATAATTTATGAATAAGTTTTCGAAATTATTTTTAATTGATCATGTTAGTAAATGTTTACACCAACTAAATGTTGACCTTCAATTATTCTTTATAATTGAAGTGGGGAGGCATTTCTTCAGAGGAGCACGATGAAGCAGTGATGCTTGAGGCTGCAATGTTTGGTGGAATTCCTGAAGGTTCTGGATATCGCCTTCCCTATGCACCTCATCAGTTTATGCGAACTGAGAGTTCGTATCCCCGGCCAGCACCTCGTCCTCCTTCACCCTCTCTGACAGCACAGCGGTTGATACGGGAACAACAGGTTTTTAAATACTGGATGAAATTTCTAAAATTTGTGCACCAAAAGTTGTGTTAATGGTTTTACTAACTTGATACATGCAGGATGATGAATATCTTGCATCACTTCAAGCTGATAGAGAAAAGGAACTGAAGGCTATTGAGGAAGCTGAAGCTCGTCGTCAAGAAGACAGACTAAAAGAGGAAGAATCTCAGAGGAAATTTGAGGAGGAGCAGGTACTGTATATTTTATATATTTGCATCGTCTTAGTTTTAGAATATTTAATGTTGGTTATGTGACTATCTCTCTCTCTCTCTCTCTCTCTCTCTCTCTCTCTCTCTATATATATATATATATGTATGCATATATATGTATACATTTAACTCTTGCATTCATCAGTTTTTCTTTCCTGTTAAATTATTCTACATTAGTAGTATTTTGTATGATTAATTAACTTAGCTCCAAACATGGTCATTTTTCTCAGTTCATATATATATATTTTTAATTTTGTGAATTTTATAAAAATTGGCCCTATTCCCACCCTCTGTATGCTCATCCCACCCGTCACTTGAATATTTTCTTTTCTTCTCTTATTTTTATCCTCAAAATTTGAAAAACCCACCAGCCAGCATCATGCTGGTGGCCGGCCTGGCAGCAGGGGATGGTCTGTCAGTGGTTCTTTCTTTTTATCTTTTATTGTTTTAATTTTTTCATTGTTTGAAATTGATAAATAAGATAAAAAGTGAAGAATGTTACAATGAGTGGTTAGAAATTTAGGGGTGTGTTGAGCAATGAGTATGGAAATGGAGCCACTCTTTTATAAATTTTTGTAGGTGTCGTTTTGCAATAAAAATACGGACTTTAACATTATTTCAGATGGAAAATTACTTTGATAACTAAAGTTTATTATGGAGTGTGAATAAAAGAAGACTACACATATTTTGGCTCTAGTATTTTATTTTCAGGATCGTATACTGGATATAGGTTATTTGGGATGATCATTGACACTTTTCTGCTCAGATGGTCTGTTAAATCCTAATTATGGTTGGCGAGTATTACCCTTATTTGACAGTAATGCATTCACTGACTTTTGTAGTTCGTACTGAGACACATACTTGGGCCCTACTCTCAATTTTTTTTGGGGACACTAGTTGCTCATTCTCAGTGGGCAGGAAATGATGACTCCTTGTCTTGGTGGATTTATGTTTCGAAGTTACTTGCATCTTCATTCTGTATGATTCTTCCTTGCAGGAACTGGAGAGGCAATTAGCAGCAAAAGAAGCTACTCTCCCTCAAGAACCAGCATCAAATGATGAGAATGCTGTAACCCTTATGGTGCGAATGCCAGATGGCAGCCGCCATGGCCGCCGATTTCTTAAGACAGACAAGCTGCAGGTAAAATTGTTGTGAAGGTTATTGTTTTTAGCTGCATTATCTCTTTGCACACTCTCTTTGCTTAACCGGATTGTAATTTGCATTGCAGTCTCTTTTCAACTTCATTGATATTGGCAGGAGAGTCAAACCCGGCTCTTACAGAGTGGTGAGTAGAGTTTGCATTTTATTCAATACCCGAAGTGTCAGTAAAGCCCGTATCTTCAATCTTTGCAAATTGTTATATCAATTAAACTGTGTTCATGGAGAAAAAAGAGGACAACTGCATATGAATGCTAGAAATCCTAAACAAACTTTGAGATGATATTTGTGTTTGCACTTTATGTCTTATTCTGCTTGGTTTTAATTATGTTGCTGCAATAGGTGAGGCCGTTCCCTAGGCGTGCTTTCAGCGATGGAGAGAGTGCTTTGACATTGAATGAAGTTGGCCTTACCAGCAAACAAGAAGCTTTGTTTTTGGAGTTGATATAGTAGCTGACTCCAAAATGTAGAACCATAGAACATTTTTAATTTATCTACATATATTGTGAATGAAATCCTGGTTTTTGTTTTTGCTTTGGGGGTGTTTGGATGAAATACTTCATACATGGATTTGAGGAGATGGGCAGAATCAAATTTAAAAGGGAGAATAATTATGGTCATTGTATGTTTCCATCAGTGGTGTGGTGTTCATGAGTTTTGGGGAATGATATATATTGTAACCGTGGTACTACATTAGGGGTTCTTCTACCGAATGAATTCGCACTGAGTGCGAGCACATCCCAGTAGCTTGATAGAGTCATCGATCTAACGGCTACAACTGCATTCACGTTCGGATGCAGCTAGGAAGCTCGAGCCAATTCGAGCTTACCCGATGATGAATAAGCTAGGATTGGGAATTACAAACCAGGATTGAGGATAGGGCTGAAATTTCCAATTCCAGTAGTTGAAAATTGGGTTGGGTTGGGTTGGGATAGAGCTAAGGTACCTCTAGTCTGAACCAGCTTGAATCTTTCCTATAAAATTAATAAATAAAAGTATCGGCTAAAACGAAATAAAAATCTATCACATTTTATTTCACACTATATGACTTGTTATGTTGTTCATACTGTGAATTGTTATTTACCCGAAATGGAAATTTGTTCCCAAGACTGATTTATCTTATTTTTCCAATTGAAAAAACAAAATTTTAAAATCTGCATCCAAAATCCTCTAGAAAGTAGAAAGTAGAATAGGTAGAAAGTAAAGGGTAAAGGGTAAAACGAAAGGGCCATAAGACATTATACTTTCGGTGTGGGAGAATATGATCGTTGTTTCCAGGTTCCCAGCCTCGCCTTCGCAGCAAGTTCGTTTTGCTGATGTGTTTTTGGTTTTAGCAACAACACTTTAACAGTCTTTTTTTAACACTTTTACTTTTTTCATTTCAAATCAAAAGAGTTCTTGGGAGTTAGCAGAATCATAGCCTATACGGATCCAATTTTGTTCAAGGCATATTTGGGAATGATTTTCTTTCAACTAGATCAATGATATGGCTTGGTAAAAGCCAAACCAACTACTCCTAGGCTTGTACCATTTCTATGCAAGTGGAGATTCTAGTAACATTTATTTGCCTTGCTCTCCATACGTCCATGTACTTGATGTCTTTGTTCTTTTTCCCAACTCTCTCTCATCCCACCATATCATGAGTCTTACTAGCTTTCGTATACACCGCGTGCAAACTTACATGGATTAGGCTAATTTTTTTTATTTTATATACAAATAATATTGAGGTGGGAACTTCGAGCCTATGACCTAAATCACGAGTAACTGCTATTGGTCACTTAAGCTATTTTCACAAAGTTTTCTTCATCCTTGAACGAGTCCAATATTGTGTTAGTAAGTGTGAGGGTTGGGCACGTGAAACGGACAGCTTGGTATAGTGCTTATTTAGAGAGAAAAAAGAAAAAACGAAGAAAATAAGGTAAGAGTGCAGATGGTTTTGGCACCACGTGGCATAAATCTGTGTGGCCAGAGGGCCCATGAAAGAAGTTAAGGAAGTTAAGCATACTTAATTAAGGGGAAAATTAAACAAAGCCAAAAGGCCCAATGATGAAGCAACCGAACGGTCGAGAGAACCGAAGGCAGGAAAGGCAGCAGACAGGCACGTGCGGCCTACGTGTATATCAGCAGACTAGCCAAAAAGAAAGAAAAAAACCCCCCTTCCGTACACCACCAACCCCCCTACGCCCTCCCAACGGTCATATTTCACCGACAAGCCCCCAACGGTCATATAGCCCACCACTCTCCACCCTCTGATCAAAATCCCACGGCCCACAAACCCAACTCCCCTCCTGAAGTCTTTTCCAACACCCTTTTCACCCCTCAATTTTTCAATGCTGGTGAATCAAATCAGTCACTCAAGTTAAATAAATTAAATTAAATTAAGAAGGAAAAAAACCCATGATCGAGACAGTCCTGGAAGTGGTCTAGAGAGAGAGAGATAGAGAGAGGGGGGGCCAAGAATTAAAAGGCTTATAGTATATAAAAACAGAAGCGTTCTATGGTTTTTGGTTTCTTTGGGTTGTGAGAGATAGAGAGAGAGTGAGAGTGCTTAGCTAAGGAGAGAGTTGTCTGCTTCTTCTTGTTGTTTGATCATCAGCTTTTTCATGCATGCACATTTAAAGGGCTTCTGGGTTTTGCTTCTGGTTCTACTTCAGCCATGGTGGTGATCTTCATGGAGGCTCCAAATGCTGATCTGGGCCTGAAAATTTCTCAGAGTTTGATCCACCAGTTTGAGCTTGTATGTATCTGCATTCTTCCCTATCACTCTGTTTTTAGCTCCATGGTGAAACAAAATCACTGCTTTTCCCAATGAGCTTTCTTTGAACGTTTTGGAATCCGATGATCTTGTTCTTGTAGGAATTTATTCTTTGATTAGTCTCAAATTCTTTCATTCTTTTCTGGGGTTGGGTTCTTAGCATATACTCTGATTGTTTCTTTGATTCTTTCTTGCATAAAAACACACATATAGGAACACTCAAACTCATACACACCTTTTGATTGATTTATTCACTCATCGGATTCCTATTGTTTTTATTCAGATTTTTCTGTAGAAATATTCTTTCACACACTCACATATAGTTTCACATAGTCTATCTCTCTGGATTTCTCTTTCAATCACATATTCATTCAAAAGATCATAGAAATTCTCTGCACAAAACACCATTCTTTCACATTTTTAAGCTGTAGAAACCCAAAAGAAGAGATAGCTAGGGAGTTAAAGAAGAAAGAAAGAAAAAACATTGGGTGGGTGAATCTTAGTTGCACAAACATTAACCAAGATAAAAACCAAAATTGGAACATCATAGAGGATGTTGGCTGGGTGCTCTAGTTCCACATTGTTGTCACCAAGGCATAGATTGAGGAGTGAAGCAGCAGCACAGTTACAAGCTTGCCATTTCCAGTTACCAGCAATGAGCACACAGAGATTGGACTTACCATGCAGCTTTCCTCGGAAAGACACCTCCAGGTCACAACCCATTAGGCCTGTGGGGCTTTCGGTGGAGAAATCGATCGATTCGAAGACCAGCAGTTGTTCTCTGAAGCAGAGCATCAGGCTGCCTCCTCTGGCTACCAGCGGTCCTGTGACAAGTGCAGCTCAGACGGCGGCGTTTGTGGAGGCGAGAAAGGAGGTTAATGATCAGTTTTGGGAGAAGAAGAGAGGTAAGAGCTTGAAGAGGTTTGCAGAGCAGGGCTCAGTGGACGATGATGAGTCTTGCATAAACAGAGCAAAGAGAAAAAAGGGTTGCTTTGATAATGGCAAAGGGGATGAAGGTGGTGATGGTTTGAGTTTAGGCCAATTGGGTGCTGGGAATTTTTGGTTTCAGCCTGATTTCCATGTGCCCAGGTCAGTTCAGTCAATCACCACAGGCCTTGATCCTCCTCCTGAACTTCCATTCTCTTTGACATGCTCAGGAGATGAAGAGAGGGTTTGTTATGTTCCAGCTGAAGCCATTTCACAGCCTTTGCCATTGTCAAACAATCCTTGGTTGGATTCAATTGTGACTGAGATCACTGACCTTGGCGAGAAGGACGCCGAAACTAGGCGTGGACTGGGAAGGGAAGCATCAGCAGCAGCATCGAGCGCTTCATCGGATAGCCAAAGCTTGGGTTTGAGGCTAAATGAGAGTGCCTCTGAACATGAAGCTGGTAATGGGTCTAGAGATCCTTATATCCCACATGGAGGTGCAGGGGTTGAGGCAGAGGATGATGATGATGATGAGAGTGAAGGAGAGCACCAGGGTTTTGAGCTTGTTAGCTTGCTTACGGCTTGTGTGGAGGCAATTGGGTTGAAGAACATTGCAGCAATTAACCATTTCATAGCTAAGTTGGGGGAACTTGCTTCTCCAAGAGGAACCACCATAAGCCGGCTTACGGCCTATTACACTGAAGCTTTAGCTCTGAGAGTCACTAGGCTTTGGCCACATGTGTTTCAGATCACTCCTCCTAGAGAGTTTGATAGAGGAGATGATGACTCTGGCATTGCACTGAGGCTTCTAAACCAGGTTAGCCCAATTCCAAAGTTTCTTCATTTTACCTCAAATGAGATACTGCTGAGAGCTTTTGAAGGGAAGGACAGGGTTCACATCATAGATTTCGACATCAAGCAAGGGCTTCAGTGGCCTAGTTTGTTCCAGAGTTTAGCTTCTAGGGCCAATCCACCAAGCCACATTAGGATCACCGGTATAGGGGAGTCGAAGCAAGAGCTCAACGAGACAGGAGATAGGCTTGCTGGATTTGCTGGGGCATTGAACCTGCCCTTCGAGTTCCACCCCGTTGTGGACAGGTTGGAAGATGTGAGGCTTTGGATGCTTCATGTGAAGGAGCAAGAAAGTGTGGCAGTGAATTGTGTTTTCCAACTGCACAAGACTCTTTATGACGGGACTGGAGGAGCTCTGAGAGATTTTTTGGGACTCATCCGAAGCACAAACCCGACAATAGTCCTCATGGCAGAGCAAGAGGCTGAGCACAATGAGCCTAGGCTGGAGACAAGAGTCTCCAACTCATTGAAGCACTACTCTGCCATATTTGACTTGATTAGTTCTAGCCTTCCTTTGGAGAGCCAGGCCAGGATCAAAGTAGAGGAGATGTTTGCACGCGAAATCAGGAATGTCATTGCTTGCGAAGGAAGCGATAGGTTGGAGAGGCACGAGAGCTTTGAGAAGTGGAGGAAGCTGATGGAGCAAGGAGGGTTTCGATGCATGGGGATAACGGAGAGGGAAATGCTTCAGAGCCAGTTTCTGTTGAAGATGTATGCTGGTGAGAATTACAATGTGAAGAAGCAAGGACAAGATGGAGCAGCAGCACTTACTCTAGGTTGGATGGATCAGCCTCTATACACAGTTTCAGCATGGACACCAGTTGATGTTGCAGGCAGCTCATCGTCATTTTCGCAACCAAGTTAAATAACCGCGGATTTTAGTTTCTTCATACAAAAATTTCATTCCATTGTTGCATACAGAAAAGAAAAGGGATACAGAATTCTTTGTAGGTAGGGGAAATCTGTCATTAGTATTATTCTTTCATTCTTTCCTTGCAGATATAAGCTTGTCAGTCCGGTAGAGTCAGAACCATTTATTTTGTAAGAAGAAAAAAAAAATGTGACTAGGTTGATATTTTGATTTCAATTCTTTGCAGTCAGTGTTCTTTAGAATTAAGGCATTCTGAGTCAACTTGTGTTTATTCTTTGATTCTTTTATATGTAAGTTGAAATTCTTTGTAAGTCAGTCAAGTCATGTTATCTATTTAATCTTTTGTTGTACTGGTAATAATGGACCATGTAGCTGAAAATTCCATTGTCATATAATATGGTTGTGTTCTCACCTCTCTCTCTCTCTCTCTCTCATACACACAGATTCTGCCCCAATCCATCTGGGCTCTCTCACATATAAAATAGTGGTGGCCCAATCTATGTGGGCTTTTCTTGCTTGGGCATGGAGCTGCCAAATTAGCTCCATGAAATGCTAAGGTTTAAACTTTGATCATATCATATCTCCGACCCAGAAAAAAAAAGAAAAAACAAGCTTTGATCATATCAGAATGTTACCTGTCAGCATCTCATTATATTATTTTAAGGCAGAGTTTTGTTTGGGTTTGCAAATTTAAAGGCATCAACACACAACTTGGTTGATCACTTTATACCATATCATGATGTCACACTCTCTTATCTAATTGTTTTTTATATCTAATCTCATATTATTATAGTTAATCACCTTAAGCTTTATTCTTTGAGGTCAACATATTGTCTTCATCACAAAGTCAGCATATCCGACGGTGCTACGTGCTGTTAGGTATATTCTAGACAGTGCAGAGTTAAAAAGTTTATCTATCATTAATGTCATTTTATTTTGATCTTATAATTAACGTTCTCTTTAATTTCATTGTTTGTGGTGGACCATGCGAAATTGACATAAACCAAAAGGCTAAAGCCAACTTGAAGGCTACTAGGATGAGCTCAAAATTTGTCTCATTAGCACACCTGCTTCTGGTGGAGCAAAGACGACAGCTAGGCAGAGTTGATTTACAAGCTAAAAGTAAACATAAATATACAGGGTGTGCTAGGGCAATTTAAATTTGTTTCTTTACACCCTATTTTCCGTTGGTAAGGAAAAAACTCACCCAAGTAAAATTTTGATGTTTGTTCTAGTTGTAGTTAAGTTATTTCCGCTTGGTTGGAGAAGGTACTGAGTTCAACTCACATTCACCCATGGATGTGAGTTGGATACCTAATAGCGTGAGCTTAGTTTCTTTATTTGTGACTGACTTCATTATTGTGGGCGTGTGAGTATCCAGTTGTAAATAGTATTCCTTCACAAATATCTTATCGTTTGTTGAAAACGAAAATGCGTTTTGATGGTTGACATGTCCGGAAAGTAGAAAAAAACCTTCAATTTGAGCCACAAAGGTTCTCAAATTGATCTACATGACATTGTTGTATGGCACTGGCCAGGGTTATAATATCAATATGTACGAAGTTAAATGAACAATTAGCTGTCAATGGCCCCCCATTCTCCTCAGATTCGCCGCTAATGTCGATATCAAGACCTCTTTTTATGGGTGTCAATTTGTTCAAGTTGTTTTCCATTTGCTCATGTTCTTGTCTTCTTCTTCTTCTTCAGCAAAGTCGTATATCAGTCTATGGAATGGTAGTTGTTGCCTGCTTGCTAACATCAGAATAGATCTTACACAGTATATCTACATCAATTGTACCACTCAATTTGGCCGTCAGGTTTCTTTGTTCTCTTTTACGGTTCTTTCATTAAGTTTTACATGTACTTGGAAGAAGTCAAGAAGATAGAAGGAAGTAAGAGATTCTGTATATGTTTTACCTGCTCCATGTGATTCTTAACAGCAAATCTTTTTTAAATCAAGGGCCACAAATAAATCAAGATGACTTTCATATTTAACATCATCACCATACATGACAAAGACATATGATTTATTAATTTTGCACTTTCTTTCTTCACACTCCGACCGCATATTTAAATGGGAAATACTGAACCTTGTGATATTTTTTTCGAAGACGACAATAAAAGATTTAAGGAACGTGTAGTTTGGCTCTTATAACGTTGGGCAGAAAAATTTGGTTATGAAAGTCCTACGTGTTAGGAATATGTAGCACTTAATACGTAAGTACTTGTATAAAATCACTTACAAGGAGAAACGCTTACATAAAACCTCAAAACAACTTCTTAAATAAGATTAGTTACAAAGCCAATTGTTCACGCAAATGTAGGGGCGGAACTACTCACAATCATTGAGCGGCCTTGACCTCTACTCAATATCCTTTCACTTTAACCCTTTGAATATGTATTCGGCATAACCATGGATTTGAGAAGAAATCCCTGTAACTTGGTGCCCAAACATAAAAATCTAATGAACTACCAGAAAGATCATACTGTTTATTTACATCGTGTCTTTTCGGTGTGCTTGATAGGGTCGTGAGCCATGCATTGACCAAATGATGAATATGATGATGTGACCTTCATTAAAAACACATGAAACCAAACCGATGAAGACTGACTGGATATTTACCATTGACAACAAATTAATTAATCTAACCGTGTGATTAATTAGCATTTGCAACTATTAAAACTAGACGCATGTTAACATCAAACCATTTATTTGCCCCGTCTACTTGGACTGACCAAATCCTTTTCCTTTTCAGGATTTAATTTCTTCTGGTTCACACAATACTTTTCGTATACTCCATGCCAATTCTTGCAATAGCATGTCCTAACCAACCATGATTAATTCAATTCGTGTTATTGATACAATTAAGAATTAGGGTTTCGTGCTAGCTAACCTAATATTTCTGTGCTGCATATGTCATGGTATTGGCAGACAGTTTCCCCATTGAAAACCACTAGAAGTAGCTAAGTTCTGGTAGGTGGCCTGTTGCCGTCTTCCCCTCGTGCATTCAAACAATTCTTCTTTGGTCTCGAATTTAAATAGCTCTCTCTTATGCCTAGCTGACTAGTTCCTACCCAAGTGGGAGAGACCACTGGGTCCAACTCTAGATATTAAACCCAAGTGGGAGCTACCTCCCAGGCATATGATTATAAACTTGAATATGCTCATTTCAACTCACAAGCCATTGAGAGATCCTTTACCAATTTTTTTAATGTTGTTGTCAAATATTTGATACGCTATTTTACTGCTCTGTGAATCCTACAAGATACTCAAATATATGCTAATTTATAATTAGTTTTACGGACAATCTTATACGGGAGATTCTATGTTCGATTTACTCCTTTCAAATATCGCTTATTTAAAAAATTCAAAATTATTAACGACAATGTGTTATTCCAGATTGTCTTACAAATTAAATTTACACCAAATCGATATGTTATGTTTTGATTATTGGCAGAAGATAACTGAGATGATTTCTTTCAACCAAATAAAAGATAATCGAGAGGATTTATGTGCTTTGATCCAAACATTTGTCATCGTTTATGATTGAACAAAGCTTGCAATAGATTGCAATGCAACTATGCCAAGATACCAACTGACAACGGTGCCAAAGATACCACACTAATTGTACAATATGAGCCTTATCATATAAAATGTAAAGAGAATTGGCCTAATCTCCTCCACCATGGCCGACGCTGGCCTTCTGATCCCTTATCCATTCTTGAGAGAAACCCTAACCATGAAAACAATGGGACACATTGCAAAACGGCTAAATATTAGCATGCCACCTCCTCAAAGCTGACTCAGAACCACGTTGAGGGTCAATGTGTTGCTAATTGTAGGTATCTTCATTGGTCCACATATATTTCCTTCTTTACTTTATCGTTTTGGATCAATTGTCCACGTATTTGACCTCAACCACTCATTTTATTTAAATGGCGATTAATATAAGGGACGAGGACTTCTTTTTTTCCTTGTTAAATATTTGTGATTATGGATAATGGGATTCTAGTGCTCCCAATTTGGTATTATTGAATTTCCAATATAAAAATTAATGGCTACCCTTGTATTGTTTTTGTCGAAGAATATTCAAGAGCTTTTGTGTTTGAAGGAGAAAAGCATTTAGAAAATGTATATTAAAACAATCTCACTAGGGTTTGGAGATAGAGTTGATTTGCTAATTTACAATATTGTAGGTCTTTCCTAGGAAAATTGTGATGCAATTGTTGAGGTGGATAGTTCTATCGGGAGCTCCCCCTCATTGACCTTTGATAATCATAACGTGCATGTGAATGAGTGTCGAGAATTTTCATTCTTTATTACACAAGAATTTTATAAAAATAAAAATAAAATGTTTGAGTTTTGTTTTGTGCTCGTTAATCTTTTCCAAAAGACGATGTCAAACTATCTATTTTACTTTTTAAATTTTTATGTTGGTTCCATTTTCTTAACATTGATAACTATTATTTCATTCCTTTTAAGAAAAAAGATGGAACCATTGTGAACTTAAAATCATCAAGTACATTCATTCGCACCGATATGAGCCGCTCGTCAATGATTCGAATTTTTCTTACCAAAATTTAACAATTTAATGGTAATCAAACAGATAAACAGTTGGCATAAATTGAAAAAAACAGATAAACAAACACCATATTTTCAGATAAACCGAATTGATCGGGATAATAATCTAAAAGTTATTCAACCGATGCCACCAATAGAAATAAAATTCGTCTAATCTTGTTTTACCTTATAATCAGATACGATTTACTTTTTAACCAACAACCTTATCGTCCAATCTATCAGAAACCTTTAATCCAAAAAGAAAAAGAAAAAGAAGTGTCAGAAACCAATCCAAAATGTTTTAATACCAGAAACGGTTTACTGTGTGAACCAGCCGTCCACAGCTATCCACTGTTTCTAATTAAAAAATCAAAATGGCGACAATAAAATAGTCTCTCTTCATGCTCTATATTTCTTCCACATAAGATAGCGCTGTCGTCCCCTCCTTTTCTCGGGAAACAAACAACCAAAACAATCTCTCACGGCTTGGGCCCTACGCGTCCTTCTACGAAAGTTCAATACTTTAGTGCATACATCGAGTTCGAGATTTCATGTCCTCTCCTACCAAACCCATCTCTCTATTTCTTCACAAAGCTTAATTCTTCACAAACTTCTGAGCTTCTCTTTCTGTCTCTGCCTCTCTGATTGCTCTGTTTGGCTATGGGTGCTAGTTTCTCTGCTTGCAAGTCAGACCCAGTTGGGGCTTTGCCTTTGCAATCGAAACCCAGTCTTGGCGATTTGCCGGAGAGCTGCGCGGCGCTGATTCTGGGTTATTTGGACCCACCGGAGATTTGCAAATTGGCGAAGCTCAATCGGGCTTTTCGTGGAGCTTCTTGGGCTGACTTCATTTGGGAATCGAAATTGCCTTCCAATTATCAAACTATCGTTAGAAAAGTGTTAGGTGATGGTTTGGAAAATTTGGGTAAGAGAGATGTTTATACGAGGCTTTGTCAGCCTAATTCTTTCGATGATGGTACCAAGGTGGGTTATCTTTCGATTTTCTTTTTTCCTTTTTGTTTTGTTTCTTTTTTTTTCCTGTTTGGGTATCGAGAAAGCGTGGGAAAATGATAGAAATTGGAGGCTTTAACTTGAATTGTCTCAGCGAGGAAATCGTATTGAAATCGTATTGAAAGAAGAAAACTTTATAATGAAAGTTTAGATATTTTCATGTTTCGGGACTATTATTTGACTTTGTAAGCTTTACTATCTTTATCTTATCGTTTCTATGTATTATTTCCTTGCTTTGGATTTGGTGTGCGGTGTTATAAATTTTTTGTGTTGGTGCAGACAGTTTGGCTGGATAAAAGTACAGGATCTGTTTGCTTGTCGATTTCTTCAAAGGGATTAGCAATCACTGGCATTGATGATCGAAGATATTGGAATCATATTCAAACTGAAGAATCTAGGTGAGAATTACTGATCTTCTTTTTCCTTTCTCATTGAAATTCCAGTGAAATGGGAAATTTTGTATGTTATAGATTGCTGATGAACGTCCAAGTATTACATCGAGTTTCCTTGCTGGAATTTTCCCAAGTAGGTTTATTTATTTATTTAGGTTATCCCTTTTGTGAAGTTTTAATGATATTTCGATTTTAATGCATGATGCTGAGCTATGGAAGTTTGTGGTTGTGATCGTTTGTGGTATGTTAATGACTTTTAAGTTTTTGTGGTCAAGCGTGCCAAATTTTTTTAACCTTGGGCAACTTCGTATTTTGGGGGGTAACCACCCTTTTTTGATCAATCAAATGATCGGTGGTAAGGGTTTGGATCAACATAATATCTGCATGTTCGGGTTCTTGCTTTCTGTTCTTGGAAGGGGAGGAGGGAGGAGGGAGAAGGAAGGAGTTTATTAACATATATGTTCGTGTTGTCCCACCAAAACTAATGAAAATGGGTTATAACAAATCTTTAGAGCAACCTAACATATAGATAATATGATTCTTAATTCTTATCATTGACAGGACATGAGAATGCAAAATTTTCTTGGTACATAGTTACTGCTTTACTGGAGTTTGAGCTTATTAAAACTGCCACTATAGCTTGTCAGAAGTTATGAAGCATCTGATATTAAGAAAAGGTTCAGTTTCAGCTAATTTAAATTGCCAGTAAACTTTTCAAAAATTAAAAGCTTCTCATATTAGGAAAAATCTAGATTTATTCAACCTGTTTTGAGCTTATTTTGAATGCTAACAGACCTTTTTATGAATCTGTTTGTACTGTGGCATTGCTGGTTGGCTTTCTCTTCAAGTTGACTTCATCCTACATAGTTTGTCTAAAAGCATTTACAGAATGAATCCCAAAGGATATACAATTCAAGATTGATGTGTATTTTTGTTTTAATTTTATTCTGGTGCTCATTTGGGCCTCATGACTAATACAATGCATCTTAATGTGATCATGTGAAATAAACCGAAAGGTTGTGGATTGCTTACTTCTGTTGTGGCTATGATGTCCCAAGCCCCCTGGTTCTTGGGTTTTTGGAATTGCATGCCCTCCTGGTTCTGATTTTCTGATTGAGGTTGCCTCACTGGAATAAGATGCTTTACCCATTTACCTTTGCACTAAAAGTATTCGGGGAACTAAGTTGGAGTTTTCTTTTCTTGAACACAGATTTTGCAGCGTTGCATATCTTCAGCAAATATGGTGGTTAGAAGTCGATGGGGAGGTTGAGTTCCCATTTCCAGCAGGGACATACAGCCTATTCTTTAGGCTGCAGCTGGGACGGTCTTCGCAGAAGAGGTTTGGTCGCCGAATTTGCAATACCGAGCATGTCCATGGTTGGGACATAAAACCAGTGAGGTTTCAGCTATGGACTTCAGAAGGTCACTATGCCTCGTCCCAATGCTTTTTAACTGAACCTGGAAAATGGAACTACTACCATGTTGGGGATTTTGTTGTGGAGAACCCCAATGCATCAACAAAGATTAAACTCTCTATGACCCAGATTGATTGCACCCACACCAAAGGTGGTCTCTGTTTAGACTCTGTACTTATATACCCTAGTGAATTTCGAGAAAGGCTAAAGCATTTTTAATTTGCGCTTTACCTTTTCAGTTAGGTAGTTCTGTATTATAGAGTTAGGCCATCTTTAGCAGAAAGCCAATTTAGAGATAGTGAATGTCTCCATGGGGTCATATGTGTGTGAGCAAAGAAATGTGTAAATTCATTCTCTCTTTGTTTGATTCGTTTAATTAGTGACAGTGGATTAAGATTTTGTATGTCTGTCTGTCTCCATGGTCAAAGGGGCTTCTGCATTGTATGGGATTTTGAGAAATTAATGATGGATATATTTACAGTTGAACTTTCTTATTGCTCTGTCGTTTAATTAGTGATAGTATTAAGATTTTGTATCTGTTTCCATTGCCAAGGTCTTATGTCTAGAATAGAATTTGATTTTGAGAAATGATCACAACCGCATATATTTACAGTCAAGGGGAAAACCCTTGTTTGGCTTAAACTACTGCAGAATTATCAACAAGTGATTTATCATATTTTACTTTCTCAGAGCAGTTGTTGCAACTCATTCCCCATTCCAGTCCATTCTTGCTTTGCGAAAACGAAATTTGAACTGAAAAAGGGTTTTGATTGCAACATCTGAACCAGCTCAGGCTGTAAATACCAATACTATAAAGATCACAGCATGTAGCTTGATACATATTACAAGAGCTTGGGTTGTGAAAGAGCCCTTACGTATGTTTGAAACTGATCATAAACTAATACTCAAAATGACATTAGAAGTGTGTCAGTATCCATATCTGGTAATATTAGCGAAAAGATAAAATCTGCATCTGGAGACCTGTAGTCTTGTACAAACTCTGCATTAGGCACTTACCCATCATACCTCAGAATCTCACAATAAAACCAACCCAAGAAGAACTATTCAGACCTTCCAACCATAACCCACGTCATTGCCATTGCCATAAATTGTATTATGATCATGATAGCCGTGAGAAATATTAAGTATTGATTCCGGTAAATAAAGCTTTCCTGACAAATTTGGTTCTCCATTGATGAAGCAATTATTGGTATGGACTTCGGACGAGTTCCCACTAAAGGCTGCCTTCGAGCTGCTGGTCCTACCTGCAATGCTATCGAACACATTTCCTCGGGTAGCTGCGGCTGTTGGGCAGCCCCAAACTCCTGAAGGCAACTCTATAACTGAACCTTTACCACTCCCCCAGATGGGTTCTTCCCTATCATGCTTATTTGCTGATCGGCTATTGTTGTTGATCATTTCCTGTACTAGTTTTTGAATGGCGTACTGCTTCATAGACAAATCTAAACTTGACAAGCCATTTTCCACTGAGCTTTTAATCAGTCCTGAATTTGAGGTTCTAGGACCCTGAAATGGTTCAGAAGAGGTGTCCTGGATGTGCGGCTCCTGGCTAGCTCTGCTCACAATGGAGGTCAAGTTGCTTTGTCCCATCAATTTGTGGTGAGAACCACGCAGCAATGATGCTGCCAGTTCTGCGCTAGTTGAAAGTCCTTTGTGATTCATAGGTGAGCTTTCATTTGTATTACTTCTAAAACCACAAGATGCAGCCATCAACTTATTGTTGTCTTTTGGAGGATCTCGTGCACTCTCTAGCTGCTCCTTTCCTTTTATTTCCTGTTTCTGGAGCTTGGTCGTGGCAGCTCCTCTGCAATAACTTTCCAGGCTCTCTACAAGTAAACTTGTAAGCAATTACCTCAACTAGGGATGAAATACGATGATAATAGGAACTCAAGCAACAGTTTAATTTTTATAAAAATAAAAAAAAACTATTTTAACTTCCATCTGAGGGGAAATAAGGAACATGAGTTTCTCTCCTTCCTACCAACAAAAAGAAAATCTTCCTTGCCATTATGAAAAACAAAGTCAAGCATCACGGCACCATCTGAAAAAAATTATCTCCAAAAAACAGAAAAACAATCAACCCTTTACTCAGAGAGTTGTGTGCTTGACGAACAAGCACAGTGATCATGCATAAGGAGGTGCAAAGAGGCATCTTAGGGGCTACTCAACAACATATGTAAAAGAATATAATTATTGAAGCCCAAAAAAAAAATGCAGTTGTTCCATCGTTCTTCAGAGCAGCATAACCACCATGGAGATGGAAAACCATTGAATTGCTAAACTGAAAACTAAATACACGGTGGAAGCCATTAACAGAAACACATGACTTGCTACTTACCAATTGGGCCAGTAACATTATCCTGGCATAAAATCATTAAATCTTTCATGGTGTAGACAATCTCAGCTATCTGTTAAGAATACAAAAGAAACTGTTAAAAAATTGGACATTAGTTTCAAACTAAAGCAAAATGAATGTTCAATACCTGCAAGCACCGGGTGTATCTCTTGGAAAATCCCAAATCATCAACCAGCTGTTGATCCACAGTCTTTGCAAGTTGTCCTCCGGCTGCTAGGATCCTACAGTAATTTAAATGATAAAGAACTACATTATCATTACCTATCATGACAGCATTCTAGCTGGAAGAAAAAAAGGCCCAAAAATAGTTACACACTACCCTAAATGATGAGGTTTCTAGAATAACATGAGAAGCAAAATTATTATCTCAAGTACTTTTCATCACTACGCCAATTTATACGATAATAGGTAACTGGTCTTCAATATAACTAGAAAAGGAGAACCATCCATTCTTACGTATTGCAATTTGCTTGTACATCTTGGAACAAAACCCCATCAGATCCTCTGTCATCAATAGAGCACTTGTAATCCTGTACGGCATGAACCAGCTGAACAACCTAGAATACGACATAATTGAAGAACAAAAGTTACAAGAAAGTAGATCCTGGAAGGAATCATAAGATGACTGAACCCTACTTTGAGCAATGACCAAATTGGATTCTTTTACAAGCTTACAAAAATACACAAAACAAGAAAGATTCATACCTGTGGTGCAACTGCAGTTCGACGGAAGAAAACTTCATGAGAACATACACAAAATTCCCAGGACAATATCTGAAAAATCATTGGGGATAAAAATAAGGAAAAGTAATATGAAGAGGAGTTAGTAAACAAGATAAATAAAGAGTTAGAAACAGTATGCAATTAACCCACCAACTTATACAAAGTGCACTCACCTTCAAATCATGAGAGAATACTATACGAAGTTGACCTTCATGAACAACGTGAAGTTGCTGGTAGACACTCTCTTGAACTGCTCTTCCATATTCCAACATCATTACTCCAGAAGGAAATCTAATCTCACGAGGCAAATCGAGGAACAAGAGTTCATCGATCACACCACTCCCAAATGTGATTTCATTTAGCCTTGGAAGCACTTCAAAATATGCCTCTATCAAGTGGTAAAGGACCAACAGAAGTTGAGGGATATAAAAAAATAAAAAAATAAAAAAAATAAAAAAATAATGAAGCCAGATATTCAGAGAAAATAGATTCAGTAAAGTGCAAACTTTTTTTTACCAAATCCCCTTCTTGATTTACAACCACATATGTTACACTGCCATGGTACCTGACAAGACAACAGCAGCAAAACTACCAATTTTCAGTTCGTAGAAAAGATAAGAAGAAGAAAAAGAAGAAGAATCAGGTGCATTCATCAAGACATGCATGCTAAGAGATATTACAAGTGGGGAACCACATTTGTGCATCTAGTAGGAGTCATAAGTTACAAAAATCAACAAATGGAGCCACAGAATGAAAACCGACCATCGTTAGATGGGGCAAAATACCAAGGGCATCGCGCCCAACTTCATCATACAAGGACAGACACCACCTTTTCTTAGCACTTGGGGCATAATACTCTGCCACAAATTTCCTCCAATAGGACAAGTTATTGTCCTAAAAGAGGGGTAAAAGAGAGTAAGATTATGTTCAAGTTATATAAGTTGAAAAACAAAGATGAAGCAGTCATGACAAACATGAAAGGAACTGCAAAATGGTTATAATTCATGAATAAATATCAACGGTATATTATCAATTAAGCTAACTACTAACAGCTGGCCGGTTTCGGAGATGATATATGTACTGCATTAGCCGGCGTGAACAAACACCTTCATCAGGGAGCTGCATAACAGATGCTTGATGCACCACCTCCTGTTGTGTTACTACATGCCTCATCGGTTGCTGCTGCTTTTCTTTGTCAACACCCTTCAACTGCAGAGAAGGATGTAAAATCTTTGGCTGATCTTGATTCTGTGACATATTATAATGAAACAATTCCTGTATTTGCAATTTATTTCTTTGCAATTCCTCAGAGTCCTGACTCTGCAGTAGCTGCTGAATAGCATGCTTGTTAAGACTAGCCTCTTTCTTGACGTCTATTCTAGGTTTCTTATGCCTCTGACTTGAGGTAAGAGGTTCCTGTTCTCCACCATTAAGAAGTGGATGGTGGTTCTTCAATGCTGGCTGAGGTGCAGCCCCGAAATGCCATTGATATTGCTTCCTTTTAGGCGGCATCTGGGTGCATTTATGTTTTTAAATGCGATGTCTGCTGCAATTTGGAGGAACCAAGTATAACTTAAGAGTTTGAAGGTACCTGAATTTATGCAACGAGAGAAAGGCACAGGTCAGAACAAAAAAAAAAAAAAAAAAAAAAAAAAAAAAAAAAAAAAGATCTAAAAACACTTTCCCCTCGTGGTTGAAAATTTTATAGTATCTAGTAGACAAGTACATGGCTTTCGAGTACCGAATAACATATTTTTCCACATGGATAGCTACCAATAATATAACCAAGAGCTGAGTTACACATTTACTATGAAACAAAAACATAGAACTTTTCAAGCTTTCATACACATACATAAACAATAGCAAAGAACCAAACTTAGCATTAAACCAACAAATAAGACTGGTTGATTTCCGGGAAAAGGGGCAAGGAACAACAATTAAACCCATCCCCAAAGAAAACTCTCCATGGAAATAAAGAAGGCAAGCACAGAAGTTGCTTAAGAAGCAAAACCCATGTCCAAAATTCTTCCTTCCCGTCATTTCTTTTGAGAAACTAAGTAAAGCCTTAACCTTTCCCAGTAAATAGTCAGGGAAACAACAGTCTCATCACAAATGGAGCCTGTAGATAAGGTAATGTCCAATCTTCAGCCCCAACAAGGCACAAAAATCAAAGCTCTCTTTTACGTTCTTTTCCAACATTTTCTCGGAAACCAAACGGATCTACTTTCTTGGTAAAAGAATCAAAGCCAAAACAAAGTAATGCAAAGTAAATAAAACAAAATGCTGGGTCTATTTTCTCACCCACAAAGCAGCATGAACTTTGAAGCAAAAGTTGAAAAAACTAAGATTTTGTTGCCAATATTAATAGTAAAAAGCTAAGATTTTGTTGCCAAATATTAAAAGAGCTTAGCTCATGATATTGGCTCAACTCAGAATCGATTGAAGCTTTGAGAAAGCGAAGAGGTGGCGTGGAACTTGTTTGGAAGAACCGCCATGGCCGTGAGGTAGCAGCAAAGGTTGGTATGTATGCTATGGTGAGCGGGAAGTGGCACCTTTGTTAAGAATGTGGATGCCTGCGAGTGGAGACCGGCTGTGCCGGTTACTGGACTTGGTTTAACCGGACGTCCCGGTAAGACTTTGGGCACGCGTCAGCCTAGGACAAGCCACGTACAGCTTCGGGGAGATTTTGCAGTAGGGCATATGAACCTTCTTGTCTCCTTCGTCCTTATTCAACCCTTGGTCCTAGGATTTTCTAGTTATTCCGAAATTACCCTTGCCGAATGAGTGTGCTGTCCTATCCTTCAATTCATTTTGTTTGTTTTAAAAAATTTTGTTAATGAAGTAGCAATACAAAGTATACCCCCACAAAAACAAAAATACAAAAAAAATACAAAAAAAAGGCAAAAAGTCATTTTTGGTCTCGGTAATTTGCGACTTTTACCACTTTGGTCCCTATTATTTCAATTTGGTCAATTTTGTACCTATACTTTCAATTTCGAGCAATTCAAAGACAATCGTGATTTGTTGTCAAAAAATTTTAACGCCCATCATGTTTTGGTCACATGCCCCTCACATGGAGGGGCAATTTAGTCAAATCATGCCCACCTAAAAGCTGCCTCTCTCTCAAAAAAAACCCAAAAAAAAAAAAAAAAAAAAAAAAAAAAAAAAAAGCCTTTCTCCATTATACGTGAGTCCCGACTTTGGGCAAACTACGGTTAGGGTTTGAATACAATTTGGTCAATTTCGAAACAATCTCTTATGCTAGATTCAGACATTCACAACATCAACAATGACGAAGAGAGGTGAAGGAAGTGGATGCAGGAATAAACAAGGTGAGAGCTCGATTTTTAAATTAGGTTCAAGTTGGTTTGGGATCTTTATTCAATTGTTTGGGCTTTCAATGCATTCTTTATTCAATTGTTTTGGAGAGCATCTCCAAGAGAGTCTCCAAATTTTAGCTAAATTTTAGCTAAAATAGTTAGAAAGCTATTATAGCAAACCACTTAAAAGGTATTTCCTCTAACAATGTTCTCTATTTTGGCTAATCTGAAATATTTTATTATTATTTTCTCTTTCTCTTTCTCCCTCTTTCTCTTGCAAATCAAATATATTAAAAAGAAAAGTAGAAACCCAACCCCACCAACCTCCCAAATGTCTCTATCTCTCTCCCCCTTTTTCTCTCTTTCTCTTTCTCTTCAATTTAGCGAGCCTCCATTTCTCTCTCCTCCTTACTAGATGCAGAGAGCCAAAAGTTGGTTCTCCAAAATAGAGAGCCAAGTGGGAGTCTGCTGGAAGGAGGATTTTCCTTCTTTTTAGCCAAAGTAGCTAGGGATGAGAGGATAAAGAGTCTGCTGGAGATGCTCTTAGTGCTAGAGTTGTCGTGGGTTTGTCAGATTATGATTTTTTGCTTTGTCAGATTCTAGTTTTAAAAGGTGTAGTGTATTGGGTTAAGATTTGTCTTTTAGTGGAATGGTTGTTCGAAAAAGTTAAGACTTTAGGAAGTAAATAAATAAATATGGTATCTCTATTTGTCGTGGTCCCCCCTTATTTGCATAAAGTATATGAGATACATGCATTTCAATTATATAAAAGTTGTTTCTGTCAAATTTTTTCAAATATTGGGCCACCCCAATCTCCTTATACTGGAGCATTTGATGAGGTCCCATATGATTTTTGTTTAATGAGCTTTTTAGTCAACAATCGTAGATTACTCAAGTCAATGTACAAGTGGGGAATGGAAATGTAGGAACTGTAGAGGTCCCTATGTATTCTCTAATTGCTGAGAATGTTGTTCATGAAGAGGAGAGTAGTGAAGAAGAGAGTAATAAAGAAGAGGATAGTGAAGAAGACACTTATGTTGAGGGTAGGAAGAGAAGAATAGAGGACAATGGTGATAAGTCAAATAAACTAACAATGGCGTTGCCCTAGATAACAATAACTTGTTTGATGCAAATATACAATCCAACTTTGGAAGAGTAGGAAATACTTATCTGCCTAAGGATTTTGTGGCTTTTGAGGATGAAGAAGATAGTGATGGTAACAACTTAGAGAAAAGGATTTGACTCTCCTAACAATTCTTCAGGTGAGGAAAGTGAAAGGAGAAGGAAATATTCAGAGTTTTGCAAGTCTGACTTGAATAACCCTAAGTCTGAAAAGGGAATGTTATTTGGAAGCAAGGAAGACTTGAAAACAGCTTTAAAGAATTATTCAGTGATGAGCAACTATGCAATTAAATTTGTGAAAAATGATAAGAGGAGGCCCACTGCAAAGTGTAGAAACTACACTTGGATGTTGCATGCTTCATTTATGCAACTAGAGCAAACTCTGCAGATTAAGAGCTTTAATGATAAACATACTTACTTATGAACCCCTACTAACTCACATGTCAACTGTGTGTATATTGCTAAAAAAATTTAGATTGTATCATGGATGAGCTTGAGATAAAGTTAAAGAATTTAAGGAAGGCAATGAAGAGGAATTTAGGGTATAATGTATCACATAGTCAGTGTTCCAGAGCAAATAAGAAAGTTGTAATTGTAAACCTGGATGGATCAATATTAAAACGCAATATGCAGGATTGATATGTGATTTAATGATATGTGATTTAATCCTTGTACTACACAGCAAAAATCAAACACACAACAAACTGAGAAAATAAACGAAGCACAACGTATTTGTACGAAATATCGCACGAGGAAAAAAACCCTCCACACAGGAGAGAAAAACCTCAAGGCACACAACCAATTTCACTAAAAACGTAAGGACATATACAAGACTCAATTGATACTTTTTTACACCACAAAAGAAGATTGATCAAATATTCTTGTCTTGTACAAACACGTCCTCTTCACTTTCTGTTGGATGAACACCAATTCACGCAGGTTGATCTTCCTCACAAGCAAAGCTTCCGCAACGTTCCATGATGAATGAATGATATGTTATGCTCTCAGACTATCACCTAGATAAATCTAAGAACTTAACAGCCTTTTATCTCTCTCCCTTGATCTTATAAAACAATCTCACGATTTTGATTAGAGTGCAAAAAGGAGGTGTACCAAAAAAACTTTCAGCCCAACCCTTTATATACTAGGTTAACTCTTTTACCTAATAAACAAAGAGATTGGCCTTATTTAAACCACTTCCTTCTTTAAGACTCTATGAAAATTTGTATAGACTTTACACCAACTCAATCTTTAATTGGGAAACCAAATCCAATATGAATGCAAATTATTCTTACCAGAAAAGAGCTTTGCCGTGTAACACTAGTCAATCATGCTCCTCGTTTACCGCAAGCTCCAACCGTTGCAAGTTACAATTAATTCTAAGACTAGGAATAACCAACTTACAGATTCTTTACATTTGCTAGGAAATAGCCAACTAAAAGTACACTTTCAAAAGTCATGGAGATAATATAAGAGACTTACAAGGAGCAATACTCAAGGTTGTGGGAGTATTGTGATGAAGTGAAAGCAACTAAGGTTTGAAGCACAATGAAGATAAGGGTAGAGCATCCTCCACATTTTTATAGACTTTATGTATGCCTTGATGCATGTAAGAAGGGATTTTTGGCTGGTTGCAGACTCATCATAGGAGTTGATGGATACCACTTAAAGGGCCCTTTCTTAGGGCAATTGTTTGCTGCAGTGGGGGTTGATGCTAATGATAACATCTAACCCATTGCATATGCTACTGTTGAGTTGGAAACTAAAGAGACATGGAGCTGGTTTTTGGAGTTGTTGATTGGTGATCTTGGTCCTGTAAGTGACCATAGATGGATATTCATATCTAATCAACAAAATGTATGGTTTCATCATAGAGATAATTATTATTTGATTGATGTTTGATTAATTTTTTGCACATTTTAATTGCTATCTAATTATTGTTTTAAAGGGACTTGACAAAGCATTTGACATTGTAGCTCCTGAAGCCCAACATAGGTGGTGTATTAGGCACATATATGAGAACTTTTAAGGAAAAGTTCAAGGGCAAAGTGTTCAAAGGTCTGTTATGGA